CGCCGCGAATCATCTCCTGGAGTCTCCGGAGACCGATCCCAGCCTGTCTACAAACGCTAATCACGAGTCGGAATTATCACAGGGTCAGTCTTCGTCGGAGGACAACGACGATCGCAAAACGAAGTTCTTAAAGTCGTCACCTTCGAATGGAGAGGAGGTGATTGGACCATCTACGCCGCCGGAGATTGCTCCGCCTCGTCGGAGCTTTCCGGACGATATCCAGACGTATTTTGGGTGTCAAGACTCCGGCAAGTTAACGACGGAGGAAGACGTTATCTTCGGTGATTTAGATTCTTTCCTTACGCCGGATTTCTACAGCGAGTTAAATGATTGCTAAAAGTGTTTTTCTTCTTCAGAAAAAAAAGAGATTTTTATAAGTTTTGTTTTAGTTGTTCGGAATCTTCTCGGTTGTGAATCAACATTTACACATCGATTATTCTTTCTTGTGACAATCTTATATAATAAAGTTTGAATCTTTTGACTAGTTTTCAATTTCCTATCTTGGTGAATTTGAGTTAAGAAGGTAGTTTCAGGTAGGGAAATTGATTATGCATACAAAGAAAGAAATTACAGAGATGGTCGTTGGAGGAAGTTCAGAGATTGAACTCTCCAAGGTATATTGATCAAACAGTACAACAAAGCTTGGAATCAAGGGAAGCCAAGCAAATGCAGAATGCTTGGTAGCCTGAGAATGGATACCTGCACACAATATAAACCAAAAGGTTATTAGGTTGTTGAACCAATCTTAGATCTCTACAGTCTTAAGCCTAAGTTTAGTCTCATTCGGGTTCGAAGTAGCACCTGTAATCAAGTACATATTTTGCTCTGTCCACTCTTCCCATTTGAAGAATCGTCTGCCTGGAATTCTCCTGTTTATGAAAAAATTTACACGAAATGTTTAGCATTTTGGAGACTGTGTGTCTTGTTGATAAAGCTAAAAAAGGTTTAGGAAATGCACCGTGAGTGTGAGCTGAAAGTTCTTAACAGAGCTTTGTATTCTCAGTCCTGTTCTTCCTCTGTCTCTGAAGTCTAATTCATGCTGCTTGGAGATCTAAAAGAAAGGGAAAGATCATAGAATTAGTTCAAGCTTCAGAAAACAATGGTGATACAGATATAGCCTGCGTGAGACTTACGTTGTTGTATTGTGGTATCCTTGAGCATAGCTTCTGAACTTTTTCCTTATTCTCAAGCCAATCAAGCGGTAGTTTACTAACTTGTTGGACCTATAAACAGACGTGTTAACCGTTATTTATAGTTTTGGAATGCAAAGATTGATAGAGAGAAGTTTCAAGATTAGGCATTTACCAGCTTACTGTTGTTCTTCTGCGTTGGCTGCTGCTTTGGTAGTAAAGCTCTCATTCTTCTGTAGCTCCCTGTCCATGTTGTTATGGTGGGTGTGAATCTGCGGAAGCAGACAGAGACATAAGCAGACTGAAAAATAACTAAGGGAGAGTCAAATTCAGAAACTTCAAAGCTTACATTACAACTGAAAGCAGCGGCTTCACCAATTTACCTACAGAACCAACTCGAACTCCCTGCAATGGATAATCAAAAGACCAGAAACATTCAGCTTGAAATCCAAACCTTTAAGCAGAACCAACAGCAAATGTATCAAATTGACAACAACCTTATCCCAAATGTAGTACTTGGAACCCATGAGATTAGCTGTCATAGAGCCGACATAACTTTCATCTGAAGTGCACAACAATCCCTTAACATTTTGTGCCACTCTAAATACAGACTTCCCGTTACGCCGCCTGTGGTAAGCCACTGCTAGCTTCCGGTCTTTCCGTCCCCGACCTTCCTGAGATATATCATCATCCAACACTTGTAAGAAGCTGTCGGAAGCATTAACATTTACTGCATCTCATTTCTCAAACAGCATCATAGTATACTTACATGTGTATAAAGTGAATATACAGATCCGTCGCGTAAGCCTTCTGGTGACTGTTCTTTTACGATAAGACAAGTGCATCTACCGACATCCAAAGGTAATGTCTTGCACAACAAAGCCCTGTTGAGCAAGTTGATTATAGAGTTTCAGACATGTTTAGGACAAGAAGAAGCACAAGAATTTTGGTAATTGTGGTTGTTTTTACCTGTTGGGCAAAGTAGACCAAGAGGAAGCAGGAGCAGCTTCGGAATCCGAAAACTCCCACACTTTCAACGAACTCGAATGCTCTGAATCAACACTAGTCCAAGTTTTCATCCCGAAACTACCCTTATCCACATCACTGTTCATCTGCATACACGCTTGCAGCGATGTCTGCTTCAGAGCCGTTCGACCACCCGTTGAGAAAGACTTGAAATTTGTAACCTCAGTGAGATATCCAGAATTTCCCTTCGTCGATTGAGACTTCGAAGCTCGACCTTGTTTCCGAATTTCCACAGAGCTGTTTTCAGGAGAGACATTCTCTTTATCCTCACCTTTCTTAACGGAAACAGTCCCTGAGAATGTGTCCACATTTTCCTTATTTTCCTCCGACAAATCATTCTCTTTTCTCGGACCAGACATGTTTCCCCTTCTGTGGGTTTGCTCTCAAGTTTAGAGCTTTCTGGGAGCAAAGTTTATATCTTTATGGATTTTGAAGATGTGAAATCTAGATATATAGGTGTTGACAAAGGTGGGGGATTAGGTTTGGTTTGACCTGTAAAAAAACGCAAACAGAGAAACGTTTTAAAAAGTCCATTTGAATTTGAATAGCCATTGGGGATTGTGCGAGCACGAAACCAAAGACAAATGAGGGACTTTCTCTTGTCTCTACAAGAAGAAAGAGGTCATTTTAGAAGTCTGTGTTTATTTTTTCCCCTTTTTCCTATTTCCTATGGACCAACCAAACGGTCACTAACAGTAGTGGGATTTTATCTTGTCGTTTCCCTTTGTCGGGAAACTCAAGGTTGATGATTGGACTGAGGGAGCTTAGCGGGAAACTGTGTTTGAAACACTCAAAAGTCTCAACTACCTACCGTTTTGATTTTTTTTGATTCAACGTCATGCCATGTTATCTTTCGTGAGTCATCATCATCATCCAAAAGACCAAAACCGGATAAGCTAGAGCCTCAAACCATCGAGTGGCTATTACACAGTCACTGTTAAAAAAATAGTCCAAAACCATGAGAGGCCACAACATCGTCGAAGCCCATTATCGTCGTCAATGGCTAAAGCCAGCAGCACTCTGTTTGCTGTCTCCTGCTCTGTTTCGGCTCGTTTCACTCTCCTCCGTCACTCTGAATCACTAAAACCTTCAGTTTCAAAAGCGAGATTCGCTGTGCCAATGGCTATGGCGGCTTTCTCCGCTGCCACTGCTAAAAAACTGACTCCTGCAGTGATTGTGGGTGGCGGAAGAGTCGGAAGGGCGTTGCAGGAAATGGGTAATGGCGAGGATTTGTTGGTGAAGAGAGGGGAAGCAGTTCCGATTGATTTTGAAGGACCCATTTTGGTTTGTACTAGAAATGATGATCTCGATGCTGTTCTCGAAGCTACTCCTCCGTCTAGATGGAAAGGTACAAACTTTCTCTCCACTCAACAATCCTGAATTGAATCGAATTGTCAGATGATTTTTGGGGTTTGATCTTAGCAGAGTCCAGTTTCACATTTGATATACTAAATTGTTGTGTGTAATTGATTAGACTTGGTGTTCTTCCAAAATGGAATGATGGAGCCGTGGTTCGAGAGCAAATGTTTGGGTGATGCAGATCAAGTGTTGGCCTATTTTGCTGTGTCAAAGCTCGGTGAGCCTCCGGTTGATGGAAAGACTGACACTAACCCAGAAGGTCTAACTGCTGCTTATGGGAAATGGGCTTCAGATGTAGCTGCTAGATTGCAATCTGGTGGCCTCTCTTGCAAGGTTTACAAAGAAGCAAATCTTTTGTTCTATCATGAAGAGGTTAAGGTGATTAAACTTTTTTCTCCGGTGTTTAGGTACTTGACAAGGATGCATTTCAGAAGCAAATGTTGGAGAAGCTTATTTGGATTTGTGCATTTATGCTTGTGGGAGCTCGTCATCCAGGTGCAAGTGTAGGCACGGTGGAGAAAGAATACAGAGATGAAGTACACAAACTTCCATTCCTCATTTCGTTTGAGAATTTAAAATCTTGGTGTAGTTTTTTAATTACACATTAAACTTCAGGTGTCTAGACTCATCCAAGAGCTTGCGGCAGCTGCTGCTGCGGAAAAAGGACTAATCTTTGAAGAGAACATGGTGGAGAGACTATGTGCTTATTCCCGAGCTGTCGCTCATTTTCCGACTGCTGTTAAAGAAGTATATACACATACATATCACTCTCTTTCAATGTGTGCCAATATCTGTTGTTGTCTCAGCTAGTTTTCTGATTACTGCAGTTTAAATGGAGGAATGGTTGGTTTTATTCGCTCTCGGAGAAGGCGATTGCAGAAGGGAAGCCTGATCCGTGTCCCCTCCACACCGAATGGCTGAGAGAGCTTAAAGTGATATAGAGCCTTGTGAGTTTACTGTTTATGTGAGATTATGGTAGATGATATGAAACTAGTGTGACCTCTTTGTACACGCATGAGAAGCTAAAATAAAGATAACTAGTTCACACTTTGTAGAAAAGTCCAGACTTGTATTTGTGCAAACTCTGCGTCTTGAATGATCAAAACGTCTGATTCTCATGTCCCCATCAATTAGAAAATTCACCGTTGGTTCCATAATCCTCTGCTCGTAAAAATTCAATGTTCAGTTATGACTATTCGCCCAAAGGTCTCACCTTTGAAAAGAATCTCTGTTCCTCACGTTTTTTTTTCACCGCAGACCAGGTAAAGACGGAGACATTTCGAGATTGGTTGGAACCAAGAACCAGGATCGTGTACGTCATCTTGTTTGAATATTTAGTGTTGCAGCCAAAGGTGGTCCAAATAGGCGTCTTGAAGGTGACTTAGCTATTAGTTACTATAAAACAGGGCTGTAAAGGATTAGCTTTAGCATCACAAATTCATGAGAATACTCTACACAACAACAAAGAAAATAACACAGAGCATAATGAGAAGAGAGAGCTATTCCTTAGTTTACATGGTCTCTCTTCTGGTTCTGCTGATCCATGGCATGACTGCAGCAACCACTCAAGGTCTCACGGTTTCGAGTTCTTGTCAAAGTCATTGTGGGGGACTACCGATTCCTTATCCCTTTGGAATCGGTAAAGATTGCTATCTCAACAACGACAAGTGGTATCAAGTTACCTGTAACAGCTCTTCCGGGAGCCCTGTCCCGTTTCTTCCTAGCATCAACAGAGAGTTGGTGAATATCTCTTTCCCTGCGGACTCTAGCAGTCAATTTGAATTTGGGCTAATACAAATCAAGAATCCGGTAACTTCATCGGGATGTTCCAACAGAGAAGAAGCCAGCTTGTCTTTTGACGTGACCGGAAGTCCGTTTTTCCTCAGCGCAAGCAATACTCTAGTTGCAGTTGGTTGCAACAACAAGGCTTTGATGACGGATGTGAAGCCTCATATCGGAGGATGCGAGTCTACCTGCGACATGGGGTTTGGCCGGAGAGGACAGAACATAAGTTGTGATGGCGACAAATGTTGCCAAGCCAAGTTACCCTCTGACCGTCTGCAACAGATTGGTATCAAGATAGAGAGCCTTGATGGTAACGCAAGTACATCAGCGGGATGCAGAGTTGCTTTCTTGACAGACGAGACATATTCACTGTCGAATATAACCGAGCCAGAGCTGTTTTACGGTAAGGGATATGCGACGGTGGAGTTAGGATGGTTCATAGAAATGTCACACAATATGTCCGTTGAAACTAGGGCTTGCTTTTCAACATTCGAGGGTCAAGGCTATAGCTATGGTAATCTTGAAACTTGCATTTGTAGATATGGTAACTATCTAGACAGAAGGTATAGAAGTTGTAGGTGTAACTCTGGTTACAGAGGCAACCCATATCTCTCGAGTGGATGTACAGGTAAAACTAACTGTTTCTGGTATATCGATCGCTTTGGGTTAGTGTCTCCATGAATCATTGATGCTTACATCATCTATGTAGATATTGATGAGTGTGAGGAAGCCAAAGCTCAAGGGCGCAACCGATGTAGAAAAGGGGAGTATTGTGTGAATATCCAAGGAAACTTGGACTGTAAACCCATAAGAAACAAAACTCTGGCCATCATTCTAGGTAAGCCACCGATCATTTGGCTATATGTCATCATGTATATAGAAAAAGGACTGAGCTCTTACTGTGTTCTGTGTGTGTTATTGTTGTAATATGTAGGTATTAGTATAGGCTTTGGCTTGTTGGTTGTAGCCGTTGGAGCATGGAGGTTGTATAAGTTTATCATAAAGCAAAGGGAGATAAATCGGAAGAAGAAGTTCTTTGAGCGTAACGAAGGACTATTGCTGCAACAACAATTGGTTTCGAACGAAGGCAATGTTGAGAAGACGAGAGTGTTCAGCTCGAAAGAATTGGAGAAAGCTACAGAGATGGCATGAGATGGGCACTAAACTTCTATGTTATCTCGGTTGGGTTTGGTTATTTTGTTTTATACGTTGAGATGGCATGAAGTCATCCGGATCACTTGTCTATAATAATGTAGTCTCGACTCTCGACTGCATTTGCAGTAGTAAAGTAAACTTCACCCGAGTAAAAAAAAAAAACAGAGTAAAGTAAAAAGTCTTTTCTTTTAAAACACAAATTCGCCCACCGTGGGGCTCGAACCCACGACCACAAGGTTAAGAGCCTTGCGCTCTACCAACTGAGCTAGACGGGCTTGGTGCTTGAACTATATATTACAAGCTATTACTTACCAATTCAGGCTTGTTCACTGGAACCGGTTCCGTCTAATTTCGAAACACCGCTTTGATACGAACTCTGAGTGGAATAGTCAAATAGTCTGCAGAGCAGAACGAAAATAATCGAAACAAAACAAAGCCATCCAACGGGAGTTGACTTTTTTTTTTCTTGTTCAAATCTTGATGAAGAAACTTCACGTTAAATCCAATCTTCGTTGAACGCGTCACAAAACTTTTCTTACTTTTCTTTTTGTTAAAGTTCCACGAATATTTTGCAAAAAGAAAAAAAGAGAGAAGAAGCACAAGTATGAAGACAGAGTCTTGCAACTTCCCATGTATTGTAGTCTCTGTCCTAACTCCTCACTCTGCAGCTCATCAAATAGCCTGCAGAATGAAAATAATTAAAGCAAAACAAAATAATCCAAAGGGAGTTGACTTTTTTTTTGTTTTTTTTTCAAATCTAGATGAAGAAACTTCACGCGTCTATAATCCAATCTTCGTTGAACGCGTCACTAAGACTTTTTTGTTGTAAAAGATCCACTGATATCTTGGAAAAAAAAAAGAAGAAGAAGAAGAAGAGAAGAAGCACATCAAGTATGAAGACAGAGTCTTACAACTTCCTATGTATCATAGTCTCTGTCCTAACTCTGCAGCTCATCAATGGCTCATCAGCAGCAACACCACCTCCACCTCCTGATCGAAACTCTTCAACTTCTTGTAACAGAATCTGTGGAGGAATCTCGATCCCGTTCCCGTTCGGAATCGGCGAGAAGGAATGTTATCTCAACAACTGGTACGAGGTTGTCTGCAACAAGAGCACCTCCAGATCCGATAAAAACATTCCGTTCCTCTCACGGATCAACATGGAAGTGGTGAACCTCTCTCTCCCAGAGCCAGATGATAATAAACCATACGGAGTGGTTCACATCAAAGGTCCTGTGACTTCGTTGGGTTGCTCTAGTCAAGTACCTGAAAAGTCATCGCCGGATTTGAACGTCACAGGCAGAGGCAGTCCATATTTTCTCACAGACGAGAACCGCCTCGTGGCGGTTGGTTGCGGTGTCAAGGCATCACTGACAGATATCGAGTCAGAAATCTTAGGTTGTGAATCTATCTGCGAAGATGGGAAACGTAGCCAACAAGTAACCAACTCAATATGTGATGGTTACAAATGTTGTCAGGCTAGGATACCAATGGACCGTCCTCAGGTTATAGGTATCAATATAGATGTCACAAGAGGAGAAGGATGTAGAGTTGCGTTCTTGACTAACAAGAGGTATTCGCCGATGAATGTTACGGAGCCAGAACAGTTTCATTCAAGGGGATACGCCGTGGTCGAGCTTGGATGGTACTTTGATACTTCGGATTCTCGGTTTAGGAACCCCTTAGGTTGTAGAAATATGACCCGTTACCGTTCCTACAGCAGCTTCGATAAATGCGGTTGCGAGTACAATCACTTTTCTGGGATGAGATACAGGAATTGCTATTGCAATCTTGGCTACACTGGGAATCCATACATTGCTCATGGCTGCACAGGTAAGTGATTGTTTCGTCTTCTTTTTTCTATCGATCAAGTCATCAATACTAACAACTATATGATTCAAAATTGTGTAGACATAGATAATTGCAAAGAACACAACAATTGTGGAGAAAGGACTTGTGTGAACGGGCCTGGAATGTATAGCTGCGAGGCCAAGATTACCAAGCCGGAAAAAACCTCTGTGCTTCAAGGTTAGTTTGAAGTAGTATCTTGCTTCTACAAGACTGCAAGACGGAGAACAAAATATTAATTTACCTTATGGTTTTCCACTTTTGTTGGTGTAGGTGTTCTTATAGGTCTAGGAGTGCTGTTTTCTGTCCTAGCAATCTTGGGGATGTACAAACTCGTTAAGAAGAGAAAGAAGATCATCCGAAGCAAGAACTTCTTCAAACGCAATGGAGGCTTGCTGTTGAAGCAACAACTAACAACAACAAAAGACGGAAACGTGGAGATGTCTAGGATATTTACCTCAAAAGAATTGAAGAAAGCTACTTACAACTTCAGTGTAGACAGAGTGCTTGGGCAAGGCGGTCAAGGAACTGTGTATAAAGGAATGCTTGCGGATGGAAGAATCGTCGCGGTCAAAAGATCAAAACTTGTGGATGAAGACAAGATGGAGGAGTTCATCAATGAGGTTGCACTTCTCTCACAGATCAACCATAGGAACATTGTGAAACTCTTAGGGTGTTGTCTAGAGACGGAAGTTCCAGTCTTGGTTTATGAATACATTCCCAATGGAGATCTGTTCAAGCGTCTGCATGGTGATGTTTCTGATGATTACAAGATGACTTGGGAAGTACGCCTTCGTATAGCCGCAGAGATCGCGGGAGCTCTTTCATACATGCACTCAGCTGCATCGTTTCCAATATTCCACAGAGATGTCAAGACTGCTAATATACTGTTGGACGAGAAATACAGAGCCAAAGTGTCTGATTTTGGAACTTCGAGATCAGTAACCATTGATCAGACTCACTTGACAACATTGGTTGCTGGAACGTTTGGGTACATGGATCCAGAGTACTTCCTATCAAGCCAATACACTGACAAGAGCGATGTTTACAGTTTCGGGGTTGTCTTGGTAGAGCTCATAACCGGTGAAAAACCATTGTCACGTGTCCGGTCTGAAGAAGGCAGAGGCTTGGCTGCTCATTTCATCGAGGCCATGAAAGAAAACAGAGTGATTGACGTCATTGATGTTAGGATCAAAGAAAATGAGGAGAAGCTAGACCAAGTAATGGGGGTAGCAAAACTCGCTAGAAGGTGTATTAGCCGGAAAGGGAAGAAGCGGCCAAGCATGAAGGAGGTTTCATTTGAGCTGGAGAGGATCCGCTTATCACTCGAAAATTCAGAGGTCCATGTCGAAAACTACGAAGATGAGGATCAAATTCAATTAACTCAGGACATGAACAGAAAACAGAGTTCTTGAATGAATCGTATAAAGGTGAATAGGTGATTCAATGCATTCCTATAGTTATATCGCGTGCTAATATGTGTATAATGTAATAATGCGTGCCACAATGATAATCTCTCAGCTTTTTCTTCTTAAACAACGCTAACGCTAAACTAAACTTCAGAAAACGAAAGGTACAACGGAAAAATAAAACGACTCAGAAGTCAGAATCAAAGAAAGGCCGAGAAAGAAGGAAAATCTTATAAATAGCTTGAGAGTTGAGATGCGAACCTTGGAACTCGGTTACATCTACTTGGACTGGGACACAAATCCACGTCATCTATCGGTTACATCCACTTGGACTGGGACACAAATTCGTTCCCTTTCTTGTTTGACTTTATTTTTGTCGGCCTTTTTATCTTTGCAACTCACGCGACCTTGATTTCGTCTGCCAAATGGCATTGTTTCATTGGTTGGAAGCCGAGAAAGTCCACGTTATCCGCTAGCCACATCATCTCCATACATTTGACTAGTCATGTAACCGTTGACTTTTTGGCTTAAACTTATTTTGGTCAACGTCAACGTTGTTTTGCATCTCTTTTCACACGCATCCATCATCTAATCTTTTTTTCTTTTTGGGCAGAAACATACATCTAATCTAATCTGCACAACTTTAGAAGACTAAAATTACCAGACAGAGCTTAGTAAGAAGAACAAGATCAGTATGAAGACAGAGACTCACAATCTCCTACATATTATTCCACTACTGATCTCGCTCCTATCTCTGTTCATCAATAGCGTCTCATCAGCAAGAAAACCTCCAGATCTGTGTAACAGAGTCTGCGGAGGAATAACGATTCCATTCCCGTTCGGTATCGGTGGGAAAGATTGCTATCTAAACCCGTGGTACGAGGTTGTATGTAACAACAACTCTGTTCCGTTTCTCACACGGATCAACAGAGAATTGGTCAACATCTCTCTTCCCAGCGATAACGTGTACTATTATTACGGAGTTGTTCACATCAAAGGTCCCTTAACTTCCTCCGGATGTTCTACTCAGCCCCTAACACCGCCGCCTTTGAACGTTGCCGGCCAAGGCAGCCCCTTTTTCCTCACGGACAAGAACCAACTAGTGGCGGTTGGTTGCAACGCCAGGGCCGTTATGACCGATATCAAATCGCAGATCATTGGTTGCGAGTCGAGCTGTGACAAGAGAAACAGTAGCAGCCAAGAGGTAAGAAACAAAATCTGCCAGACGAGGATACCGGAAGGGCAGCCACAAGTAATCGGTGTGACTTTAGAGAGCCCTGAAGGTACGAACACAACAGAGAGAGAATGCAGAGTTGCGTTTTTGACGAGTGAGAACTATTCACAGTCAAATGTTACAGAGCCAGAAGAGTTTCACGGTGATGGATACGCCGTGGTGGAGCTTGGATGGTACTTTGATACTTCGGATTCTCGCGTTCCAAACCCTAAAGGTTGTAAAAACGTGTCAGACACGTCACAAGATGGCATGTACTCGGTCGAGACTAGTTGCATTTGTTCGTACGGATACTTCTCTGGACTCAGCTATAGAAATTGCTATTGTAACTCCATGGGTTACGCAGGGAATCCTTTCCTTCCAGGTGGTTGTGCAGGTAAGATAGTGGTGTTCTTCTTAATCTTGTCATATTTTTGTGGTCATCAATAAGATTGCTGCTAATTATGGAACCAAATCTGCAGATATCGATGAATGTAAACTAGAGGAAGGACGCAGAAAGTGTAAAGGCCAAAGTTGTGTGAATAGGCCTGGTTGGTTTGAGTGCGAGCACAAGAAACCAGAGCATCTCAAGCCGGTTGTTCAAGGTAAAAGTCAACTTGAACTCGTTAGCATCATGTGAATCTTCTCCTTACATTCTAGTCGTTTCTTGGTGCAGGTGCTCTTATAGGTTCGGCATTGTTGCTTTTCGCCTTTGGAATTTTCGGGTTGTACAAGTTTGTCAAGAAGCGGAGGAGGATTAACCGAATGAGAAAGTTCTTCAGACGAAATGGAGGATTGTTGTTGAAACAACAGTTAACAAGAAGAGAAGGCAATGTAGAGATGTCAAGGATATTTAGCTCGAGCGAGTTAGGAAAAGCTACTGATAACTTCAACAAGAACAGGGTTCTTGGGCAAGGAGGTCAAGGAACTGTATACAAAGGAATGTTGGTTGATGGTAGAATCGTTGCTGTGAAAAAGTCGAAAGTTGTGGATGAAGACAGGGTAGAAGAGTTCATCAACGAAGTTGTTGTTCTCGCGCAGATCAACCACAGAAACATTGTGAAACTTTTGGGTTGCTGTCTCGAGACAGAAGTTCCGGTCTTGGTTTATGAGTTTGTTCCGAATGGAGACTTGTGCAAGCGTCTTCATGATGATGAATCTGATGATTACACAATGACATGGGAGGTGCGTCTTCACATCGCTGTTGAGATTGCAGGAGCACTCTCTTACTTGCACTCCGCTGCATCTTTCCCAATCTACCACAGAGACATCAAGACTACTAATATACTATTAGATGAAAAGTACAGAGTCAAGGTGTCTGATTTTGGAACTTCGAGATCGGTGACGATAGATCAAACTCACTTGACAACTCAAGTTGCGGGTACTTTTGGGTACGTGGATCCAGAGTACTTTCAATCAAGTAAGTTTACGGACAAAAGTGACGTGTACAGTTTTGGAGTTGTTCTCGTGGAGCTCTTAACCGGAGAAAAGCCATCATCCCGTGCCCGGTCAGAAGAAAACAGGGGATTTGCAGCTCATTTTGTTGAGACCGTGAAAGAGAACAGAGTTCTTGACATTGTTGATGTTCGGATCAAAGATGAATGCAACCTCGACCAAGTGATGGCAGTGGCAAAACTAGCTACAAGATGTTTAAACCGGAAAGGGAAGAAGAGGCCTAACATGAGAGAGGTTTCGATTGAGCTGGAGAGGATTCGTTCATCACCGTATGATCCAGAGATTCATATTGAGGACGACGATGACGAAGAGGAGGATCAAGCCATGGAACTCAACATTGATGAGACTTGGGATTTTGGTATGACTGCTTCAACCTCTATGTTTAATAATCATGCATCCCCTACGTCTGATGTTGAGCCTCTGGTTCCTCTAAGAACATGGTGATGAAACACACATCTCATGAGAAAAATGTATTTATCTTTGGATTATAATAAATCTCTGGTTTTTCACCATGTAATAATAATACACACAAATTGCATTATAGAATCAATAAACAAAAAAAAAGAATGTTATACTTCAAGAACAATAATGAGGGTTTGTTTCAGCTTTGGCCAATGACACAGTCTAGAAGAATTTGAGTTTCCCTTTGGAGATAGCTTGGACATGTTTTAAGTGACACATTGCCTTGGCCTTCCCGGTCAAGCCATAGCACAACGAATGCCTATCGCCTAGAGTGACTGCAAAGTATAGATAGACAGTGCAGAGGAATGCCAAGAGAACCAATGCTGTTAACAGATATCGATGCCTCTGGATAACTGTTGAGAAGCTACCCAACTCTTCCCACTGCTTCTTTAGAATCTGTGGTCTCCTTAATGGTGAAGATACAATCCCATCGAGAACCATTGCTGCTTGATAAACCGATCTGCAAATTGACACACATACACACAATGTCATTCACACAATTGCAGAAACACTATTAACAGGGCTGTGGAATGGAGAGGAGATTCAATCAGATCGAATGTAAATTCTGAGCTTTATCAATCGTAAGCTATTTAGTAAAAAATTAGAAACTAGCAATAATTTCGAATTTCGAGATCATTAATGTCAATGTGAATCAGCAATCAAGGAAGCAAGCAAGTAATTTGGAATTGGCATCACAGAAACTAAACAAGCTCGGATCTTCCGCAAACGAAGAAAATTAGACGAAAAATGGCTAACAACAACGTCATTTTCAGTCAATCATCAACCATGGATCACAACAACGACCCGTCTTCAATGCAAATTGGATAAATATTCGAGGAAATGGGCGATCAATCGAAGGATACAAAATACAAAAAACTTATGCCGAGAAATTGAGGTAATAGATCCGAAGATAATATGGAAACGAACCGGTGAAAGAGAAGCAAGTGAGAGATCTGGAGAAGAAATAGCTGCTTCCAGCTCCGTCGAAACGCAAATCCGACAGCCCCAAAAAACTAGTCCGCCGCTAGACGTTGATTATCCGGCAGAGTTTCCGATATATAGAGAGAGAGATATATTTTATCTCCTCCGTTGCTTGATGGCTCGAGAGGGGCCGATTCGCCGGATGACGCCGTACGCGGTTTATTTCGTCCGTTACATACAAACGGGAGTTCAGGGATTTTCTATAAAAAAAAAGATGAAAAGATAAAAAAAGAAGAAAAGAATTGATGATGCGTGTTTAGCTTCCACTCCTTTGTCTTTTATTTCAAAGATGATGATGGGGCCATGTTATTTTTGGGTTTTTTTTTGTTGATAAAATGATGGGCATCGATCGACTCTTCTCGATAGCATTTTACCTACGATTTGACTCTTGCAGCAACCAGAGGCTGTTTACAACACACGTCCAATTATAAATATTTTTTTACTATTTTATATTCACACTATTTTATATCTAATTTAATTTTTGTTGTTGTGTGTGACTGTGTGAGTCTTTCATAACTCGGACGGATTATAACATGGCATTTCCATAAATTTAGTACAACAATGAACAAACCATTAGATTACAAGTTCGTTTCAGATGTGTATTTGGTTTTGGGAGAACCTTCTTGACTTTTTTATTCACGAATTTCATGATAAAAGAACAATTAAAATATTGGGCATTTATTGGGCCATTAATAGGCTTTATATGAAGGGGTCATTATATTGGATTGGTATCAATTCCTTGTTAGGTAGTCAAAGTCCGAATATAAGCAGCGAGAATTAGGAAAATCCGAGTTGTTGTTGTTCTACTTTTCAAGGAGAGGAAAGCTCAAGGTTTGATCGATCGCCAAGGTATTTTGATCTTCTCTTCTCTGAACCGATTTGGGTTTCCTTTCTTCCTTCTTCCTGAGCTAAAGGAAGATCGCTAATTTACTAGTCTCTTTGGATCGCGATTTATGAACACGTCTCGAATTTGGGGGAAAAGTCAGCATATTTGATCCAATTCCAATCTCATTAGCGATGATTCCTAAAATTTCTAATTCCACGGAAAATTGAGTTTTGTGTGATGATTTGGTTAATGATTAGTTGTAGAAGAAGGTTGTTTGATTGAATATTGCGTTTTATTTCATATATGGCAGCTGAATACTGAAACCAACCTTTGATCTTCGTGGAGAAAAAAAGATGTTTGCAGCTTCTTGCCTCGCATCGTGCTGTGCTGCTTGTGCATGCGATGCTTGCCGTACAGTGGTTTCTGGGATCAGCAGACGTTCCGCTAGAATTGCGTACTGTGGTCTCTTTGCACTTTCCTTAATCGTTTCATGGATTCTCCGTGAGGTTGCTGCTCCTCTCATGGAGAAGCTCCCTTGTAAGCTTTCTCTATATCTTTTTCTTTTAGCTGTCTCTCCAGTGAGAATATTTTAGCTAATAATTTCCATTTCGCAGGGATTAACCATTTTCACAAGACACCTGATCGGGAATGGTTTGAGACTGATGCTGTGCTTCGTGTCAGCTTAGGGAATTTCCTGTTTTTCTCAATCCTATCGGTTATGATGGTTGGGGTGAAAACCCAGAAAGACCCTCGTGACGGTATACACCATGGTGGTTGGATGATGAAAGTGATCTGTTGGTGCATTTTGGTCATCTTAATGTTCTTCGTTCCAAATGAAATCATCAGCTTTTATGGTAGTTGCCACCTATCATTGCTCATATCTCGTTTAAATGTTCCCGATGAATTAAATTAGTGAATGGATCAACTTGGAGCTAATGAGAATCAATGTAACATCCTGCAGAGTCAATGTCAAAGTTCGGTGCTGGATTTTTCCTTCTTGTTCAAGTTGTGCTTCTTTTGGATTTCGTTCATGGATGGAATGACACGTGGGTTGGCTACGACGAGCAGTTCTGGTTAGTAAATTATATACATGCAATCATATCTGGCTTCGTTATTCCACTGCTAATAAGTACTCCACTTTGTCTAATGTCTATAGGTATGCTGCGTTGCTCGTTGTTTCCCTTGTGTGTTACTTGGCAACCTTCGTCTTCTCTGGTCTTCTCTTCCATTGGTTTACTCCGTCAGGACATGATTGTGGACTCAACACTTTCTTCATTCTCATGACTCTGATATTTGTATTCGTCTTCGCTGTTGTTGTTCTGCATCCCGCTGTAAGTTTTTACTTAAGACCTTTCACAACTCTCATCTGAGACTCTTCAGGTCAAATTAACCTTTTATATTGCAGGTCGGTGGAAGCATTTTACCAGCATCAGTTATATCTCTCTACTGCATGTACCTCTGTTACAGTGGACTTGCAAGTGAACCCCGAGATTACGAATGCAATGGCCTCCACAAACACTCCAAAGCTGTTTCAACAGGCACCATGACCATTGGGTTACTCACAACTGTTCTCTCTGTCGTTTATTCCGCTGTTCGTGCCGGCTCTTCCACTACGCTACTCTCCCCTCCTGACTCTCCACGTGCAGGTATGTTTCCACACAAAAACATTCTCTCAAGTCTTTGAAACCTTGCACGAGTGCTTAAGATCCTTCTAAGCATTTTTAACGGTTTTTGCTGGTTGAAAATGTGCAGAGAAGCCACTGCTTCCGCTAGACGGGAAAGCAGAAGAGAAGGAAGAGAAGGAGCATAAGAAGCCAGTGTCATACTCATACGCGTTCTTCCACATCATCTTCTCTCTCGCGAGCATGTACTCTGCAATGCTCTTAACCGGCTGGTCAACTTCGGTTGGTGAAAGCGGTAAGCTTGTCGACGTCGGGTGGCCGTCTGTGTGGGTCCGTGTTGTGACCAGCTGGGCCACTGCTGGTCTCTTCATCTGGTCTCTTGTTGCTCCGATTCTCTTCCCTGACCGTGAGTTCTGAGCTTAATGATTCCACCGGAGACTCTGAATAACGTTTTCATGAATCTTGAATTTGTAAAAAGATAATCTATCTTTCGACTATAACAACAGCGAGTCTCGTGTTCCATCACGCTGCATGCCCTTTGATTGCCCATCTTGTAATATAAATATGAATAGTAAATTTCACCTGCCTCGTGTTTAATATATTTCAGTTTGTATTAAGGTTTTATTCAGGCTACTATGAATTCTAAACCGGAAAATCGGACCGAAATCTATTGAAATGCGGATTACTCGAGAAAAGTACAAGGCAGTGTGTCACGTGCGGTACGCCTGGAGGGATCTAGCAGAGTACCGCACGTGGGTTGCTCTTGCCGCGTTTTAAAATCCGAAACGCACGGTTGATTGCGACTGTTTGCTAACTAAAAAATCTAGAGAGTTGTTAGAATCAGCGCTCTTTTAGGTCACTCTATATATCTCGCTACGACGTCCCTCGCCGGACTGCGCCGACGCCGCCGGTATTAACTTCTGGTTCAATTCGTCGTCATGAATCTCACCGTTAAGACTCTCAAGGGTCGTCATTTTGAAATTAGGGCTCAGCCCACCGACACGGTTAGTCCTTCGTTCCAATTTTACGTATAGGAAATCAGTAAATTCATATACCTTCAATCGAAAATCCGTGTTACGATACCAATCTGGGCTATATAACATCTGACTAGATATATGAACAGCTCTCTATATGCTAGATTAAGAATTTCGAGTTTTCCGATTAGTATGTCTTGTTGAGTGGAGTGTATATGGCTAAACCCGGGAATTTTTTTGTGTGTGCTTGTTATTTTAAGATAATGGCGGTGAAAAAGAATATTGAAGATTCTCAAAGCAAAGACAACTATCCATGTGGGCAGCAATTGCTGATTCACAATGGAAAGGTTTTGAAAGATGAAACCACTTTGGCGGAGAACAAAGTCACTGAAGAGGGTTTTCTTGTGGTCATGCTTAGCAAGGTATCTATCCAACTTCTTATCAAGCTGGCTCTTTGCATAGTATGCAGTTTTTTTATTTTTTCTGGATAATGTTTGTATGAGATACTCTAAGCAAGTTCATCTGTATATCCAGTTAAGTGCATCAGACATCTTGTGATTGTGGCTCCATTTGGTGTAAGCAATACCTGAGATAATTATCTTCGAAGCTTAGATAGATTAAGAAAATCTATAAGTTAACCTATGTGAAGTACTGCAATGTTTTTTTTTTTTTTTTTGTTTCTTCTTCTCTTCTTGGTCGACCTGACTACGTCTTTGGCTTTTCTTTTGCAATTGGTAGAGCAAAGCTGCAAGTTCAGGTGGTTCGTCTTCTGCTCAGGTAAGCTTATTTTCTTTGTATTCTCATGTTTCTGCGAATTACTTGTTCAGTCGAGTGTTTCTCAGTGTAAACTTACTTCCTATCTCACAGCCCACTTCCACCACTACGTCTACTACATCTTCAACTACGGTAATTTTCCTACCTATCTGTTCCTGTTTCGGAGTTATGCAGTCACCATCTGTTTTCCTTAGTTCATTTGATACAAGCTTGTGTACCAATCGACCAGCCTGCAGCTCTGCCAACAGTCCAGTCTATATCTGTGCCACCTTCAATTACCACTCCTGCTCAAGAACAACCGGCGTAAGTTTTATTCTTGAAATAACATGTTTACTTGGGAAAAAAAAAGTTAAACTTCACTGACATAAGTTACTTGAATTTATTGGTGCTTTATGATCTTCAAACAATTGAATTGTATTTGTAGGGCACAAAGTGACACCTATGGCATTGGTCAAGCTGCTTCAACTTTAGTTAGTGGTAGTAGTGTTGAGCAAATGGTTCAACAAATAATGGAAATGGGAGGAGGCAGCTGGGACAAAGAAATAGTAACTCGTGCACTTCGTGCAGCGTATAACAACCCTGAGAGAGCAGTTGATTATCTATATTCTGTATGCCCCTTCTCTTTAACAGTGTCCTGTAAATGTTTTCAGGGAAAGAAGCTGCTGAAATTTCTTTTATTTTCAGGGAATTCCTGAAACAGTAGCTATGCCAGTAACTAACATTTCGGGAGTAGGATCTGGTGCAGACCTTGCCGCTCCTCCTTCCTCTGGAGGACCTAATTCATCTCCTTTAGATATGTTTCCCCAGGTAAGAGCTTGATATTTTTTGTGCATCGAAAGAGTGAGTTCCACTTGCACATGACGGGTTTGTTTTTTTCTCCAGGAAGCAGCGGCTGATGCTGGAGCTGGAGATCTTGGAACGCTTGAATTCCTCAGAAGCAATGATCAGGTTGTCATTCTAATCCTTATCTCCTTTTTTAAATAATTAAGGATTTTAAACTTGGTTCACATGAATTGTTAGAAGCCTGTTACATCACCTTCAGGGAGGTGTATTTAGAATACTCCTATGTGATATTGCATTAATCATTCAACGCACCTTCCTCATACACTAAATCTTGTTATATTTGCCATTTGTTATAGTTCCAACAATTACGCACTATGGTCAATTCCAACCCCCAGATTCTGCAGGTAAGCGAGTCTTTTACCTTAGATGAATATTGCTTAGTATTGCTTCTGAACATGTCATCGCTGCTTCTGTTACAGCCTATGCTTCAAGAGCTCGGAAAGCAGAACCCTCAACTTCTGAGGCTAATTCAAGAGAACCAAGCCGAGTTTCTTCAGTTACTCAATGAGCCCTATGAAGGATCTGATGGGTGAGTACTCTGTCGTTTCTTAATTTGGGCACAAAGGTTGAATCATCAAATCTTTGGATGATGAAAGCAAGAAATCACGTCTATATGTGATCCCTCTTGTTGACTGTTCACAACTCTCAGGGATATGGATATTTTCGAGCAACCCGAAGAAGAAATGCCCCACGCAGTCAACGTTACCCCTGCAGAGCAAGAAGCAATCCAACGGGTACGCACACATAGATTCCTCATGACGTCTTGTAACAACTTGTAATGCCATTTTCTCATCCCTTCTAACTATTTCATTAAAACATGTTTGATCAGCTTGAGGCAATGGGGTTTGATAGAGCATTAGTGATAGAAGCCTTCCTTGCGTGTGACCGTAATGAGGAATTGGCTGCAAACTATCTGCTAGAGAACTCAGCAGATTTTGAAGACTAGAGTTCTCCACAACAAAAACCAACCAGTCCCTTTTATTTAACCAATTCAGTGAGCAGAAGATAAAGTTTTGTTCATCCAGCTGAACCGTTACATTTTTAACTCTGCTCAGAATCTCAGATGATCTTATCTTATTTTTACATCTCCATATTTATCTGAAAGAATAATCTGTTTTTTTCCACGTTTGCGATTCGCGAGTTGTGTTCAATATCAAGATGAAAAATAATCATTAATATATCCTTTATGTCTTACAGTTGTCGCATTTATTCACTATATAACCCCAGAATTGGTCTTTGAATTTGATGGCCATGAAATTCGTATTCTGGAATTTTGACGGAGGGAAAAAAAAGCATACGTGTCCAGATCTAATTGGTTACCCACGCAGATTTTGTTTTTTGTTGCTGTGGAAAAGTCATGATTAAAATTTAATACAGAAGAAAACAATTAAAGAGAGATGAAATGGTCTCACGTGCACGTCGTGTTCGTTCAGAAACAAGCTGCGACCTCTGTCTGATCGTTCCACTTCACTCACTACTTCTTTTTGACTAATAAAAAAGATTTTGGAAAACACTTTTCCCCTTTTTGAATAGTCTTACGGAAACGGAAGTGGAGTTAGTAAAACTTTGTCGTTGGGCTCCGGTCTTTCTTCAAGTTTTGGCGTCTCTTTTCCAAAAGAGAATCAAAAAACAGTTTACGAGATTTTCATTGTTTCTACGGTTTTGTTAATATGTAATTTTTCTTCTCTTTTCTCTCTCCTTCTCAGTCTTTCCCTTTAGTTATTGTATTAACGAGAATTTATTGCCGGTCTCTGGTAGATTCTTAACTGTCAGGTTTTGAAGGATTGGGTTTATCCTCTCTTGGTTCTTTGGGATTTCAAATGGGTCTGTGTAACTCGAGAATTGATAAGACCACCAGGAAGGAAACCGGAGCAACAAACACCGCCGCCACTACCACGGCGGAGAGACAAGGCTCCGGGAGGCGGCGGAGGCCGAGAGATTTAAGTAGCGGCGGTGAAATCGATGAGATTCAGCAGGTGGTGGGTCGGCTTGTTGGCAATGGTTCAAGTGAAATTGCTTGTCTTCATACTCAACAAGGCAGAAAAGGAACCAACCAAGACGCCATGCTTGTCTGGGAGGTTCGTGTCTCTCCCTCCTCTTAGAGAGCTCCATTTTCTCTGTGTTATGGTTCTATGTGTTCTTGCAGTGTTACAAGTGCTCTTCTTGTTCCTATTAAGTCCATGTTCTTCTTCTTCTGATGGTTCTTTAATTAGAAGCAAGCTTACTTTGTTTGTCAATTTTTCAGAATTTCTGTTCGAGAAGCGATACAGTGTTGTGTGGTGTATTCGATGGACATGGTCCATTTGGTCATATGGTTTCAAAGAGAGTCCGAGATATGTTACCTTTCACGCTATCAACTCAGTTGAAATCGACGACGAAGGAACAAACCAGCTCCAAGAATGGGCTTGAGTCTGCTACTTGCATAGATGAAGACGAAACGCTACTTCCCAAAATGTATCAACCCCTGAAGCAAGCATTGCTCAAGACTTGTCAACAGATGGATAAAGAGCTAAAAATGCATCCAACCATCAACTGTTTCTGCAGCGGAACAACTTCTGTCACTGTCATCAAACAGGTGAAAGTCCGTTCACCGGTTATTTACTCTCTCTTTTACTCTCTACCATTAACTTGCCTGATTGTTTCTTTATAGGGGAAGGATCTGGTGGTGGGAAATATTGGTGACTCAAGAGCCGTTCTTGCTACAACAGACGAAGACAATACTCTTGTTGCTGTACAATTGACTATAGACTTAAAACCTGATTTGCCAAGTATATATCTTTTTTTCCCTTATCTTGCCAGCCACAATTGGTAACAAAATCTAAGTTTCTTCTCTATGTATACATGTTTCAGGTGAATCCGCAAGAATTCAGAAATGTAAAGGTAGAGTCTTTGCCTTACAAGATGAGCCTGAGGTTGCGCGTGTGTGGTTGCCAAACCACGATTCACCTGGTTTGGCAATGGCTCGAGCTTTCGGAGACTTCTGTCTTAAAAACTACGGACTAATCTCTGTTCCGGATATCAGCTACCGTTGTCTCACTGAAAGAGATCAGTTCATTATTCTAGCCACAGATGGGGTACTCTTCTTTTTCTTCTTCTTGCGAGGTTTCATCTGAATCTATGGTAGCTAAAATGGCTAAAATCTCTGTTTGTGGAATTGTAGGTATGGGATGTTTTGTCGAACAAAGAAGCTGTTGATGTTGTGGCTTCAGCTCCTAGTCGAAACACTGCGGCTCGTGCTCTAGTGGACACAGCGGTTCGAGCATGGAGGCTCAAGTATCCTACTTCCAAGCACGACGATTGCGCTGTAGTATGTCTCTTTCTTGAAGATTCCTTGGCAGCAGCATCCACAGAAACAGTTGGTCATTCACACAAAGAGTCTGTAGAGAGTGTCACTATCACATCAAGCAAAGATGGTGACAAGAAGGAAGAGGCTTCATCAGAGGCAGACGAGATTGTACCGGTTTGGGAAGTAAAAGAAGAGAAGACGCCTGAGAGTTGCAGGACTGAGTCCAATAAGACAACACTCGCCGAGTGTATATCCGTTAAGGATGATGAAGAATGGTCGGCGTTGGAAGGCTTGACTAGAGTCAACAGCCTCTTGAGCATTCCAAGGTTCTTCTCGGGTGAGCTAAGATCAAGTAGCTGGAGAAACTGGTTATGAGTCAACCAAAACTCAAAAAGTGATCAAAGAGACGATCACTGATTTTCATTTCATGATTGGTTTACTTTCCATTGATGACATGAAAATCAGTATTAAACAAATGTCACAAAATGTTCAATGACGCAACAAGTTTCTTCGTGGAAGATCTCTTACAAATACGTTTTTGTCTCTGCGTTTTAGTTGCTACAAGTTATTTAATCTCTATGAAGACAGCAAAATTGTGTAAACTGCACACATTGTATATACTTCTCAAGGGTTCTCACAGCCGAAAAGGAATGAAAAAGCACAAGCACACGCACACACATGTGTAATCAGAAGATAGACTGAGACCATTCACATAGAGGAGGCAAGCGAACAAGCGAGAAACTTATTAAGTTCTCTAATTTTGGTATTACAAATACTTAATCAGCAGCCATATTACAACGACAAGACCAACGATGCCAAGCATTGACAAGAGCATTGACATGCAAGAACAACCACTTCTCATATTCTTGTTCATGACAGCAAGGTTCTTTTGCACTCTCTGTAATAAAAAAACAACAAACAGGATAGGTTAATGTATAGCTAGTCATTAGCTTAGCATAATGAGGTTTTTGGCCAAGTAAACCCAAAACAGATCAGCATTAGTGTACTTTTGAAGAAATCAATTCACTTCATGCATGGATCAAAAGTATGAAATATTTACGAGTTGAAGGATATATTACCCGTAAGCGAGAGTCAGTAACATCCACATGGTAGTCCAAGTCATCCTGCACACAGCCCAGATATGTTACGATAATGAAAGTTCATCCAAATTAAGGCAGTAAAATACAATGAAAAGACAATGACATACGATAAGCCTTGTCTGCAAGCTAAGCTCCTCATTGACAGCTAGAGCAATGTGTTTTGTACTCATGACTGTTTCCTCCAACTGCTCAAGTCCTTCATCTTGTTCTAACTCGCCAAAAAGAAGAGAGAACAAACTCATTAGAGAAACTAATACAGAAGTCAACATCTGTATAAAGTTTACTACGACAAAAACAGCTTACCTCTCATAACCTGTCGTTGAAATCCAATAATCCCTTGGTTATCCATGCCAGAAACTCTGTTCACGGTGTCATCTGGCTTTATTTCTGACCCAAGCAAGCTGTCTCTGTTGGCAAAGTTTGACATGTTCAAAGAAGCCGCCATCTGATTCGCTTGCGACCTCAAATTCCCAATCATATCCTTGCGCTTGTTCATCTCTTTCTCTGAACTGTATCACAAGGAAAGAAAAATATCCATTTTCCATGTCAAGATCAACACTAAACTCAAAAGTCTTTACTTTTCAGATTAAACTCAATGGCTTACATAGGCTTTCCATGGATTTTAGCAAGAAGAGCCTGCAGGCTCTCTAATCTGGTACCGAAAATGGTGATCTTTCTTCGTATAGCTGAAGCACGACGCTGAGCATCAGGCCCTGTTACGGACGATTTATTTCTTTCTACTATCATTCCATTGATCTCCTCTGAGAGTTTCAAAGCCTCGTTGTATTCTTTCATCCATGAATCCGACGAAGACCCCATTGACCTGATTCCTATATAAAGCCAACACAAAACTACATATCACTTTCAAGGAATTATTAACTTGATCATTGATGTCTATGCAAGATGCAACCACAAGCAACAACAGAGACCCAAATAGCTACAAGCAACAACAAGAAATGTCTAATATTGACTGGATCGACGAATTAGATATTGGTTTTCACACAAAAATGCGGCCTTTGGCTGGAATTTTAATCTCCAACTAGACGAATCAGCTGCATAGCTCAAAATAAGCAAAACCCATGATCAGGAAGTTCGTGATCAGGGAAGATCGGATCGATTCGGAAACAGATATATCCCCAATCAATGCATTCGGAATTCAGCTAATATACCATCATTAAGAGCATCGAATTGCTTACCAAGAAATTTCTGGGACCTTTGATTACACCTTTCAATTTCACGGTGCTGAATAATGACTTTGTAGTCGCCGAACCACCGTGATTCGGAGGAGAAAATGTCGACCTGTCACGCTCCGGGACGTGTTCTGTCGAAAAGAAAGAGATAAAATATGAAGCTGGAAATCAAACGAGGGGATTATCAATGATTGCAGAATGTTAGGGGTTTAATACTTACTTAAGAAATTAGGTGTTTTGAAACAGAAAACATATATAACTGAAGGACCAAAGACGTATTTTGGGTATTTTCGAACCATTAAAATGGATATCGTCTTCTTTCTCTTTCGTCTCGGTCTTCGTTTCCAGAATCTCTGAGTGTGCTTGGTTCCCTCGTCAATAGATTGGTCTGATCGCAGTTTCCGTTTCGTTTTTTTCGTCCGGTATCGTTAATGGTGTTTCGTTTCCGGGAAAGTGGCGAATTCTAAAGGATAATTTTGATGTTGTAAAGCAAAGTTCGAGAAGGGGATCGCAAATCACATTTACAATCTCTCGAGCTCGATTCATGTAAGTCATCCCTCCAATTTTTCTGTTGAATCTAGATCCTTTACCTTTATCTCTCATCTCCTTGGTCCAAAATCATATTTTTCTTAAAATTGATTGAATTGATTTCTCATTGACATTCATCGACTCTGTGATTTCGCCAAACTAATGTAGCTAAATCGTAATGATGATACTTGTTTTCAGGAACTCCATAGAACAGTCGATAATCCCAGGTTTGCCTGATGATTTGGCATTGAGATGCCTAGCGAAGCTCTCTCACGGTTATCATGGAGTGATCGAGTGTGTTTCTAGAGGGTGGAGAGAGTTAGTTCGCAGCGTTGATTACTCGTGCTACAAAGCTAGAAACGGATGGTCAGGGAGCTGGTTGTTTGTTCTGACGGAGCGTTCTAAGAACCAATGGGTCGCTTATGATCCTGAAGCTGACAGGTGGCATCCATTGCCTAGAACTAGAGCTGTTCAAGATGGCTGGCACCATTCTGGCTTTGCCTGTGTTTGTGTTTCGAATTGTCTTCTTGTGATCGGGGGTTGCTATGCGCCCTCGGTGTCGTCGTTTCCTCATCAGAAGCCTGTCGTCACTAAAGACGTCATGCGGTTTGATCCGTTTAAGAAAGAGTGGAAGATGGTTGCTAGTATGCGAACGCCACGGACTCACTTTGCTTGTACTGCTGTCTCTGGCAAGGTTTATGTTGCTGGAGGTCGCAATTTGACTCATTCCAGAGGGATTCCTTCTGCTGAGGTTTATGATCCTGTGGCTGATAGGTGGGAGGAATTACCAGCGATGCCTAGACCACAGATGGACTGCTCAGGGTTATCGTACAGAGGGAGCTTTCATGTTCTGAGTGATCAGGTGGGATTTGCGGAGCAAAATTCATCTGAAGTTTATAATCCGTTAGACATGTCTTGGTCCACTGTGGAGGATATCTGGCCTTTCTCTAGAGCTATGCAGTTTGCTGTTCAGGTGATGAGAAATGACCGAGTGTATACGATTGTAGATTGGGGGGAAAGCTTGATCAAGACTAGGGATACTGATGAAGGAGAATGGTACAATGTTGGTTCGGTTCCTTCGGTTGTGCTTCCTAATCATCCGAGGGAGCTAGAGGCCTTTGGTTACGGGTTTGCAGCTCTGAGGGATGAGCTTTATGTTATTGGAGGGAAGGTTCTTAAGTGGGAAGAATCAGGTGCGGGAAGATTTGACATTGTGAGATTGCCTGTTGTGAGGGTGTGTAACCCATTGGATAGGCCTTTGAACTGGAGAGAGACCAAACCAATGTGCATTCCAGCTGGTGGGTCCATTATTGGCTGTGTATCATTGGAAGAAGCTTCTTCACTTTAACCAAGGTGATCTAGTCTTTCTGGATGCGTAGATTTCTACACTCAGATCTCTGAATTGTCCATGTTTTCGTTGAACAAATTTCGTAAAGAAGCTATGTAAAGCTTTTGGTTATCAATAAGTAGCTTTGCCTGAAATTTTTTTGTATAGCCTATGTACAAAAGTAAGAAGAGTGAGAAGTAGCTTATACTTTGTTTTACCCTTATGAGAGGTTTTGGGTTATTTATCGAATTCTACTAGCTCTCTGTTTATGGCTCTTTATCATTGCCAACCGTCACCAGATGTTACAAGCTAAAATAGTTCTTTTGCAGTCTGTCATTATTGCATGTTGTGCAGAAAGGGTATTACTGTTACACTCTGATAATTCTTCCTTGTGCTGTAGCTGACTAATATACTCGTGGATTGTCCTACCTGGAAAACATGTTGGCGAAAAAGAGTTGGGAAACAAGTTACCTGAGTAGTCGAAGTATAATGCATTTATCTTCCGGGGGCTTTGACAGTTATATGTGAAGCGAGGTCAGTATGTCATGCTGTGAGATGATTACTACGAGAGGTAACCAGTGGATAGTCAGGCCATTACTGCGTCACTCATATTTGGAATTGGACTTGGACTTTTGTACATGTGACATCTCCCAATTAGCGTAGCAACAAGCTTCATGTTTTGTCAGTGTATTTGAGTGTTAGTGAACTTGACTTTTGTTATGTATCCACTTGGCCAACATAGAGATGTATAGAACAAACACGTGAAAGATAAAATTAAGAGTTATACAAATTGTTTGCTTCTCTTTATCTCTTTTATTTCCTTTATATTGTTTACAACACGAAAAACTTATAAAATTGCAGATACAAGAACTAGTAGTACATTCACGCAAGTATTAAAGGTTGATTGATGCATATCATTCTTTATTTAAATATTGTCTTGGAAGGTGAAGAGCTTTGGTTTTCTAGTCACTGTGTCTGTGTCTTCTGAGGCATGAGTGGTTTTGAGTCCAGTGAGAATGAGCTGTTTTCAACGACTATGTTCGGAGAAGAGTAGCTGAGTGACATAGACTCCGGTATCACGATCTGGACTTGTGCATGCTCTTCACCATTCTGTGCTTGGCTTTGAGTGCCTTTTCTCTTGGATTGCATCCTGTCCAGCTCGAGAAACACGTCTCTCATGGTAGGGCGATGTTCTGAGTTCAAGCTCAAACATCTTCTTGCAAGTTTGGCTACTGCAAGGACCTCTTCTTGATCACATTCCTCCTTGATGCGAGCATCGACAATCTCATGAAGTCTGCCATTTCTCATGGCTTCGAGGAAGTAAGACCCCAACATCCTCACTTCTTGTGGCCTCAGAAGAGAGACAGGTTTGCCTCCAGTTAAGAGCTCAATGAGCACAACCCCAAAGCTGTAGACGTCACTCTTCGCTGTGAAGTGGCTTGACTGAAGGTACTCAGGGTCGACATATCCAACTGTTCCTTGCACTAATGTTGTCAGGTGAGTGTCATCTATAGGAACAGATCTCGAAATCCCAAAATCTGACACTTTTGCTCGGTACCTTTCATCCAATAAGATGTTTGTTGACTTGACATCTCTGTGATATATTGGGATGGAGGCGGCTGAATGCAGGTAAGAGAGGGCATCCGCAACTTCACAGGCCATGCAGAGACGGACTTCCCAAGTCATTGTGAAATCTTCCGACGGGTTTTGAAGATGGTCGAAAAGGCTTCCGTGGGGAATGAACTCATAAACCAACAAAGGTACCTCTGTCTCAAGACAGCATCCGAAGATCTTGACAACATTTCGGTGGTTAATCTGTGACAGAAGGATGATCTCATTTATGAATTCTTCAAGATTCTCTTCTTCCAATGCTTTGGACTTCTTGACAGCGACGATCTTCCCATCTTCCAACATTCCTTTATAAACAGTACCTTGCCCTCCTTGGCCTAGTATTCGGTTAGGGTTGAACTTATCTGTTGCCTTGTCTAGGTCATTGGAGCTGAACAGTTTGGTTCTGTTGACACTGCCTTGAAGGGAGATTGTTTGCTGCTCTAACAACAAACCTCCGTTTCGTTTGAAGAACTTTCTCTTCTGCTTGGCTGCTTTCCGCTTTTTATTAACCTTGCATAGCCACCACGTTCCAACGACTAAAAGCAACAATCCACAACTTAGAGTTCCACCTGCAGACGAAGAAATCGTAGAGCATTGTAAGTTGAGCTTTTCACTTTCAATCTAAAAAGATGGTGGCTTATGCAGAAACATTAATGTTAAACTTACCTAAAATGGCTGGCCAAGTTTTTACACATCTGAATGATCCTTCAACATTCACACACTTGTTCTTTCCACAGTATGGATATGAATCGCTGCATTCATCAATGTCTATGGACCAAACAAATGCCACACTTCACATAAGCATTTACTATACATGTGAAGGCTATATACTAAACCTCTTTTTAAATTGACTAGTGTATACACACCTTGGCATCCACCAGGTAAGTAGGGATTTCCGTCATAGCCATTATTACATCTGCATTGGTATCCAGATTTAACACCTGTTTCTTCCACATTGATGATTAGACAATTTAAAGAACGCTCTAAAGGAACATTAAGATTCCATTCCAGCTGCATCATCAGGTAGTTACGGTACTCTAGTAGTTGAGGAGGTGTAAACATAGATGGTGCCAAGGTGAAATTAGACAAGTAGGCAACCTGACAGCCGCCCTTTCCGGGTTCCAGTTTCTCCACAGTTGCATCAAACACTTGAAGACCATATGGTACAGTGGTCTGGCAGCATTTATAACCCACACATTCACCATAATAAACATAGTGAGGCCCTACCTCATTCCCACATGTGGCCTCGCATCCCACGATCTGTAACCCCGTGCCTTTCATCAACGCCTTGTTGTTACATCCAATAGCGGTAAACTTATTACTGTCTGATATGAAGAATGGACTGCCGGTCATATTCAAAGACGATGAATCACCTACTGATCCATTGAAACAACCTGTATATTTCAGTGGACTCGTAATGCGAAACTTGTTCACATATACTGTGAAGGAATAAGCTGAGGGATCTCCAAGGGCGAAGGAAATAACTTCCCGTTTGATGCTTGGCAAGAAAGGTACAGAGAGATGCTGTGATGAGTTGATGCAGACAATCTCGTACCATTTGTCCTTGTAACAACCTGCGCCTATCCCAAATGGGTAAGGAACAAGAACGTTTCCGCAACGGCTTCTACAATTAGGAAGTGCAAGAGAGGGTCTGGAAGCAGCTGCGTATTCACATATCTGAAACAGAAGTAATGCAACAAAGATACGCTTCAGTTCACAACCCATCTTCTCTGTCTTTCGGGAAACGGAAGCTCCCTTCAGGTCACAAAGTCAAGATTCAATTCTTCTAATTTTTGTTTTTATTTGGCTGCATGATTACATTACATCAACGAAGACCTTGACCCATATATATGAATCTAGGCTGTAGAATATATACACAGTGGGCTCCATAGAAACAGCATAAACCACACAAAAAGAGTGGATGGATAATTTCTCCGAAATGTGGAAGATATTCATGATGACGCTCTTGGAACGAAACGCAGAGTTTTGCTGGGATAGAATATAAGCAGTTCATGATTTCATTCCATCACCATCAGAGAGACGACTGTGCTCTGTTTCCCTTGTAGACTTTGTAGTAGTAGTACATTGACTTCCACGTGTGTACATCCAAACGACACCGCATCGTGTTTTGGGGATCATATTGATTTTTTTTTGGCTATGATTTTCTTAATAAGGATTTACTTGTTACGCTAAGTCATAGTCCTTTAATTCTACAACGGAACTAGAATTCTATCTCGAACCAATCTATATCGCAACCAGAATAACAAAGTTCGGTTTTGAAATGCAAACTAATGTTCGCTAATTTTATGAAGTAGTATTTACAAATTTACTGAATTTCCCGAAACTGAATGCATATTCTGAATTATGAAAACTGTATAAAGAGAAGCCTTTTTAACGAAAATGATAGTATTAAAAAGTTTCCGCACGTTCTACAATTCTTTCATTCATTTAGGATCTGATGATATTGAGAGTCCCATTTAATGCAAACCGTATAACATAAGCGACGGAACTTGATTCCATACTCCACCGATCTTATTCTATCATCCTGGCCGTCTATTTCCCTGAACAAGTCCATCTTTCACAAACATGTACGGTTCACGTTTCTTCTTGTTTTGGAACCGAGTCAGACGGAGTTAAGTTAAAAATCTCAACACGATAGATTTTTGTATCTTCCATTACAATAGTCTGCCAATTTGTTAATTTTTTATATTATTTTTCTTCTTTGATCCTTTAAACGTATTTTCCAAATGTTAGAGTAAGAAACGAGGAAAGCTAGAGAAGTGGTGGTGAGAGAAAATTAAAAGGAGAAGAAGAAGGAGACGGAGATAAAGAAGAAGTTAGGGTTTTTGATGTTTATTCTGAGATTTGAGCAAAGAGAAGATGCTTTCGATTGCTGTTAGCTCCCACAAAATTTGTTAGATTTACTCACCGCACAGGTCAAGCTTCACATTCTATTTCTTCTTCGTAGTTATCTGAAAGTAGTTGCCTTTTTCTTCTTCCTCTTCTCAAGCTAATTTTAGCGATATGATAAAGGCGGAATCTTCATATCGGGTTTTGTTGATTTTTCTCTCTTCTCTTTTGTTAATCACTGTCGCATGTGGGTTTTCTATTGAAGTTTTGGATTAATTGATGAACCATTTCCGTCGAAAAGCTGACATTTTCGAAAGAAAAAAGCATGCTTTTGGAGTTTTCTTGTCATCTGCAATCTCGTCTTGCCATTTTCTTCATAGTTTATTGACGGATTCAAAGCTTCTTAATTTTTACTATTTTCCTTCATTGCTTTCATTGCAGATTATTATCTGTGAACGGAAGTTTGTAGCGGGCATAGTCTACAATCTCTGAAGCAATTTGTGGCATCTCAAAAGTTTTAGTCTTGGCTCATTATAGTTCACTATGTGAGATTCTCCTCACAGGTATTGCCAATTAGAGTAATTTGAAGGACTGTTGTTGTTGCTGCTGTGATGGATAGAAACAGACCACAGCATCCATTCCAGCAACACTCTATGGAACCTGGATATGTGAATGACCCTGTCCCTCAAGGATTTGCGAATGCGAATGCGAATGTCCGACCTCCCAGTTCGAATGCTTCAGATGTCAAGCAGGTGCATAATTACTCCATTCAGACAGGAGAGGAGTTTGCACTCGAGTTTCTGCGGGATCGAGTGGTTACTCAGAGGTCTGCAATCCCCAATGCAGCTGGTGACATGGCGGGGAATGGGATGAGAGAGTACGAGAGAGCAAACTATCCGCTTCATGAGCTTGGAAACAAACTTGGGCATATCCAGTCAGCGCCAGAGGCTTCGTTGTGTCAGGATACGAGTTTAGGAAATTTCCATGGATATGCATCTTCTTCAGCCTCGGGTACTTTGACAGCTAAGGTTAAAGTCCTTTGCAGCTTTGGTGGGAAGATACTTCCACGTCCACGCGATTCAAGGCTTAGATACGTTGGAGGTGAGACACACATCATTTCCATAAGGAAGGACATATCTTGGCAGGAGCTGAGGCAAAAAGTTCTTGAGATCTACTACCGGACTCATGTTGTCAAGTATCAGCTTCCTGGTGAGGATCTTGACGCCTTGGTCTCTGTATCGTGTGATGAAGATCTCCAGAATATGATGGAGGAGTATAACGAGATGGAGAGCCGTGGGGGTTCGCAAAAGCTTAGAATGTTTCTCTTCTCTCTCAGCGATTTGGATGTCTCTCTTCTGGGGGTTAAGCATAATGATGTCGACTCTGAGTTTCAGTATGTGGTAGCTGTAAATGACATGGACATTGGTTCAAGAAGCAACTCGACCCTTAATGGATTGGACAGCTCTTCTGCAAACAATTTAGCTGATCTGGATGTGAGGAGCACCGAGGGAATCAATGGTGTTGTCCCTTCGCAGTTAACCGGGTTTGATTTCCAGCAATCCTCTATGCAGTATTCTGAGTCTGCGCCACAAAGCTCTTTGCTACAACAGTATCCTCAATCTATTCCACACAATGGTGCATTTCAGTATCAGCAAGCTGTTCCTCCAAATCCTACTCTTCAGTATGCCCAGTCCATCCCACCAAGTCCCACTCTTCAGTATCCCCAATCTATTCTACCAAATTCGACTCCTCAGTATCCGCAGTCGATTTCCTCCAGCTCCTACGGAGTATACCCACAGTATTATGAAGAAAGGCAGCAGTTTCCAATGCAGCATGAACAGAGTTCTTCCAATTACTCTATTAACATGCCTTTCCAAGGGCAGCCATACCCTCACCCTGGCATCACACAGCAAAACTCAGCTGTGCAGGCAGAGGATCTTAACATAAAACCTGAGACAAAAGTCCGTGAGAATACAGAGCCTGAAAGTCGTCAAGCTTTGGCAAAGGAGCGCCAGAATCCTCCTCAAGCGGATAACATTGAGGTACTTAAGAAGCCCTGTGAAGTTCGGGAGGCATCAGTGTCTACAACTGTACCTACTCAGGATGCTGCAAATATGTTGCCCCCAAGAAGAGACCCGCGGCAGACCAATCCTGTGAAGCCTTCTACCTATCGTGATGCTGTTACTGCTGATCAGGTTCCTGTATCTGCTGAAGATGATCAGCTTTCAACATCAAAGGGTACCACTGGTCTTGTCCATACTGACTCTGAGTCAAATTTAATTGATCTTGATTATCCAGAGCCTCAACAGCCCACGCCCACACGGAGGGTATATGGTTCGGAGAGGATACCTCGTGAACAGTTAGAAATGCTAAACCGCCTGTCCAAGTCTGATGACTCGCTTGGCTCTCAGTTCTTAATGTCTCATTCACAAGCTAGCACTGGACAGCAAGATCCAGCAAAACAAGGAGAGGGTAAATCACAGAAAGATTCCCATAGTGTTAATGAAACAATCTCTGAAAATGATGAGCAAAATGTTTTAAACTCTGATGCTTCCAACAAGAACAGACTGGTCAATGGTGGAGGGATCGAGACTGGAGCTCCTAATTTGAGCCATACAGACTCAGCCACGACTCATGTTATCCCTGAAGATCAAGCTTCTGCAGGTGTTGTTATTGACATCAATGACCGGTTCCCTCAAGATTTCCTTTCTGAAATCTTTGCACAGGCACTCTCTGAGGATATGCCGCCAGGTGTCAATCCATATCAGCATGATGGAGCAGGTGTTAGTTTGAATGTAGAGAATCATGATCCTAAAAACTGGTCTTATTTTCGGAAACTGGCTGAGGAACAGTTTGACAGAACCCCTGGTTTCCCATCTGATATGGAAGATGGTGGAGCGATTTCCAGGTTTAATCACGCTGAACAATTGACTAGAGATGGCATTCCAGCAGGAAACCACGTGGATCCTAAAGCTAATGATTATGTTGCTGGCACTAGAGAGGGTGTACAAATGAAGGTCACAGAGAGTGAGGAATTTGGTGCTATGGTTGAGAATCTAAGGACGCCGGATTGTGAACATGAGGTATGAGTTTCTGCCAGATTTGATGATGATGACTTGATGTCCTCATCATTTCACGATTCCAATACTATGAGCGTACTAACGATGATGAATACTTGTAGGTTGAAAAGTCAGAACCAAGGAATGCTGGACTTGCTCCACTTGGTTCCTCTCTGACAGATTACGATACAAGTGGCTTGCAGGTGTGATGAACTTTAAAATCTTATACCTGATAGAAATTTTACTTAATTGGCATTTGAAAAAAGGATCCATGTCTTTATAAAAAAGGGATGAGTGCCAGTTGTTTATGTAGTTTCAGACGTGTTAGAAGAATCAAAACACCAACTTTAAACCCCTGATCAGTGTGCTTACATTCAGTCTTTTATTTGCTTGTTTTTGGTTCTGAAGTTGGTCTGATTCTTATGCTCTTAATTGTTTTAGATCATTATGAATGAAGATCTCGAGGAGCTAAAGGAGCTTGGTTCTGGCTCGTTCGGTACAGTGTATCACGGGAAATGGAGAGGATCAGATGTTGCCATCAAAAGGATAAAGAAGAGTTGCTTTTCTGTTCGATCATCTGAACAAGAGAGATTAGTGAGTGTTTGTGCACTTTCTGTTGGAAATTTTCCTTGGGCATATGTGAAAACGAGTGATAACACTTCTAACATAGCTTGTTGTGGGATGCTTATGAATATAATGATTTTTTCTGTTTCCTAGACTGGTGAATTCTGGGGAGAGGCTGAAATTCTTTCAAAGCTTCATCATCCAAATGTGGTTGCATTTTATGGTGTTGTCAAAGATGGTCCTGGTGGAACATTGGCAACTGTAACAGAGTACATGGTTGATGGTTCTCTGAGACATGTTCTAGTCAGGAAAGATAGGTACAAATCTCTCTTATAACGTTTCCGCATTTTCCTATCTGATGAATGGTTAAGGATTCTTTGTTTTTTCATTCTTATAATTTTCAGACACTTGGATCGTCGTAAGAGGCTAATCATTGCCATGGATGCTGCATTTGGAATGGAATATTTGCACGCCAAAAACATTGTTCACTTCGATTTGAAGTGTGACAATTTACTAGTGAACCTCAAAGATCCTTCTCGCCCAATCTGCAAGGTAAATTTCATTCATATGACGTCTTTGACCCAAAAAAAACAGATTTTGTTTGTGCCTCATACTCTTTCACTCGTTTGTTCTTCCTCAAGGTTGGTGATTTCGGTTTGTCGAAAATCAAAAGAAGTACATTGGTATCTGGTGGTGTACGTGGAACCCTACCATGGATGGCACCAGAGCTTTTAAACGGTAGCAGCACCAAAGTTTCAGAGAAGGTAAAACTGAAAATGTTACATAGTGAACAGAAAGAATGGAAACGAAACCATACTGAGTTCTTACTCTTTTTTTCCTGCAGGTTGATGTCTTCTCTTTTGGTATAGTCTTGTGGGAGATTCTAACCGGAGAAGAACCGTATGCTAATATGCACTATGGTGCAATAATAGGTTCGTATTCGCCGAACCACGACTGTTAAGACTGGATTGAACATGACTATGTCTTAACGGCTCGTAAAATTTACGGTCAAGTGCAGGTGGGATAGTGAACAACACACTGAGGCCAACCATACCAAGTTACTGTGACTCAGACTGGAAAACATTAATGGAGGAATGTTGGGCGCCTAATCCGACGGAACGGCCATCCTTCACAGCGATAGCCGGACGGTTACGTGTGATGTCAACTGCAGCAACTTCGAACCAATCCAAACCACCAGCTCACAATAAGGCTTCCAAGTAAAAACAGTCTCTTTCTTCTTTGTAGGTTTCCTTCACTCTTTGTAAGTGTTTGGGGTTAGGAGGGAGATATTTGTTGACCCTTTTCTCCTTTCCCTTTTCTTTTACCAAAACTTAAAACAAATTGAGTAATAAAACTGTTTTGAGTCGTTGTATCAACATTTGAAATTGTTTTATCTCACATGTTACTGTTCTTACTAATGTGGAAAAGGATTTATGGATTAATATATGAGAATGTTTCTTACCAGAGAATTTGAGAAAGTAAACAAAAAGATTCAAGACTAAAAGTACGAGTACTAATAAACATGGATTCTCAGAGGTTTGCTGATCAAAATGCAGTTACGAGAACAAAACTTGAAGATGATTTTAGTCATCAGTTATCTTCTGCGGATTTTCTCCTTTTGCTCCGTTTCTGAAGCATCCCTTTATCCGCAAGTGTTTTACGATTAAGTTTCTTCCGGTCTTTGACCTTGTCTTCGAATCCATCGTCTAGCATCTTCATCATTGCCACTCTTTTAGCTTTCGATACCTGCGGATTCAGTTTATTTTTTTTTGCGTAAACATCATAAGGCCTTTGCTTCAAGTTTTGAATCAGTAAAAGATGACTGGACATATATCTCGCAGTTAATAATTTGATGAACTAAAACCTAATACTAGAACACCATGGCGAAACAGCTGCTATGACTCGATATTGGATAAGACTGAGCAAATGTTACCCTTGAGACTTCCAAACTGTCGGTGATATCTCTGCAGTTGTACAGTTCCATCTGTTTTCCAACTTCCGCTTCTATTTCATGGATAAGGTCCACATCGGTCTGCAAATGGAAACGTAAAGGTTTGGTTGTAAGCAAACCATGAACAAGAAACGTAAGAGTTGATGATGCTCGTGTAATTCCATGATTTCTTGCTTTACCTCAGTGATGATGCTCACAGCCAGTCCTCCTCTACCAGCTCTAGCTGTACGTCCAACACGATGAACATAATCCCTCGGAAATCTGATGTGAGAGCCAAACGTAGAGTTATAGAGTATCAATACGATTCAGAACCACAGTTAATAAACGAAAAAAGAAAATCTCCACAAGAAGGCACCTCGGAATGTCATAATTGATGACAAGGTCAACAGTAGGAATGTCCAATCCACGGCTGGCAACATCAGTCGCAAGCAATATCGGTACTTTCCCAGACTTGAATTTACTGAGAGCAGAGAGACGCAGAGACTGGGAATTCAGTGAATGCAAAGCTGCGTTTTCCACTTCAAGCTCTTCAAGCATAAGACTTAACCTTTGACATGTTCTAAAACACGAAACAGTGTCGTATCAGAAACTGCAAAATGGAATCACCAGAGCTAATAGATGAATCCGTAAAAGCAATGAAAATATCAGACCTGCAGGTCGAGACAAAAATCATGGCCGATCTAATGCCCTTGTCTTCCATCTGAGACAAGATGTGCACAAGGTACAGTTCTTTGGCGTCTTTGTCACAGAAAATGTACTGCTGCGTAAGAGTATCAACCGTCTTTAACCCTTCATAGGCTTCATAGAAATAAGCTTTGTTTGAAGAATGCTCGAGCAGAGTCTGTAAGTTAGTAGTCATCGTCGCAGAGAACAACAACGTTTGTCTACTTTTGGGCAGACACTGAAAGATTGTTCGTAGCTCGTCTTGGAAACCAACATCAAGAACTCTATCCGCCTCATCCAGCACTAAGAACTAATTAAACAAACCACAAAAAAAACACTAAGTAAGGCTAAGAATTCCAAAATAAACACATAGAAATGAAAAGTAAGTAACTTTCCACCGCTCAAAATGAGATTGGAGCAAAAAATGATATTTTTACCTTGGTTCTAGAGAAAACTGGAGGAATGTCTGGATTGTTTTCAAGCAAGACTTTGATTCTTCCAGGAGTAGTGATGACGATATGAGGTCGTGAAATCAAGCTCCTAGTTTGCGTCAGCATATCCATTCCTCCAACAATCACAGAGCAACGCACATTCAAACACGAGCCCAGGGCCTTAAACTGCTCGGCGAGCTGGAACGCGAGCTCTCTGGTGGGGGTCACCACAAGCGCGAAGACTCCATAAGGATCCTCAGCGAGGCGGTGAAGTATCGGGAGAGCAAACGCAGCCGTTTTACCACTACCGGTCTGAGCAAGGCCTAAGACGTCTCGTCCGGCTAATATCTTGGGCACGCAGTGAGTCTGAACTGGAGTGGGTTTGAGCATGCCAAGCTCCTTGCACGTTTCAGCTGCCCACTCGGCTAATCCGAGCCCTTCGAAGGTCACGGCGGGTGTGGTGTCGGTGCTAGGGTCGGGATTTGTGAATTTCTCAAACTGAGGAGCATCATGGACGGCATCAAGTTTCTGGGATTGAATTGGTGCTAGGGTTTTACTGGTTTTGCGGGATTTAGCTATGATAGTGATTCCACATCCCTCATCCGGCGTGGGTTCCTCCATTCTCTTTGGATCAGAATAGAAAAAAAGGTGAAGAGAGAGATTGACTCCAATTTATCGCCGGAAATAAACAAAATCGAAGAATGCGTTAGCCGCCGTAATCAGATTATCCTTCCTTTCGACATTCATAATTTCATATCCGGTTTAGCTAAACCTAAATACTAAACCGGATTTAAAATATTGGTCTATTGAGAATTCAGAATAGAAAACCCAAGCTATGAGATCATTTTCATTTTCTTATAGCAGTTTATTGAGCTCAAGTTGTCCCAACATTGGGCTTATTCTACTAAACAAACTGTCCAACATTGTTTACTGTTTGTTGATTTTTTTTGTCTTCTTCAAAGTTTGAGATATACTGAAATACCAAACCATTTCAAGATTGTTTCTTACCACTTTTGCAAGAACCAGTCATTCGTTTGATTTCTATATATGGCGCTGTTGTTAATCATTCACGTACAGAACAATAAGCACAAAGAATTAAGAAATCAAGAAAGAACAAAAGAAAACCCCAAAGAGACAGCGGAAAGGAGATGTTGAGTTACAAACACACGAATCCAAGCTAAGTCCTTTACTCTTTCATCATATAGACGCTGGTCTCACAGGATAATGCAGCTTCCTGAATCCCTGCTGAAACAAAGAACCATCAAAATCAATCATCAAATCAAATTTGTTTTATATCAGAAAAAAAAACAAAATAGTTGCGGTTGATGTATATACTTCTTGGACTCTTCATAGTAACTCAGAGATTGCTCGAACTTGAGCCAGAGTGGACATGATGCCTCAAGGTCGACTTGGTCAGGACCTTTCATATAAGCTTGGACAATGAACTGAGGACTTCTCTCCCTGCGTTATCACATACATTCATTGATAGTTTGAACATATATATAAATGTATGACTCCATTGAAATGGTTTCGACTAAGATATGTGAGAGGCTTACCGTCCTTCATATTCGGATAGCCAAACCAAATAGGCTACACCGAAGTACATAGAAACAAATGGTTTTGTTAGATCATCTTGTGAATCGACTTTGTATGCTCGGTATCCTAGCTCCCTTCATTCAGAGAACAGCCACAATAAGTTTTGATGTTTTATTAGACATTGTAAAGTGACTATAGAGAAATGAAGTTTGGTCACAGAAACTTACTTGTTTAACCAGGCAGCAGTTGAGTAGTCCACACCGAGTATTCCTACGTGTTTCCCAGCACCGTTCACAAACCGCATGCTCACAGTATCCGCAATAGCACAAACAAGAGGCTGCATCAGTGAAATGGGAACATATCTTTCAGAATTAGCATATGAAAATAACCCAAATATAAGTCCAATAAGTTTAAATATAGTAAAGCAGGTGATGGTCAACAGATATGCACACTTACAATTCTGATTCCTTTTGAGCTGAAGTGCTTCGAAACAATTATTTCTGCAACAGCCTGGAAAGAAAAATCATAGCATTACTTTCTGAAGCAATATGGTGAAAAGGGTGTTAGAAGTAGTTCTAGAACATGTGTAGTTTCTTGGGGAAATATATGGTATACCTTCATTTCCCCTCGAGAAAGGTAAGGCCTCTTTTCACCATCTTGTGAGAATCGTACTTTTCCCCTTTCTTCTTTGGATTTTGTCCACTCTTTACCTACTTCAGGATGATTCCACATATCTTCCATATCTTCAGGGGAAGCTCTAGTGTCCCAGTATGTGAAATTGGTGTCTGTCCACTCAGAGGATACATTCAAAGTTCATATCAAAACATAAAAGAGGTTCTCCAAATCTGAGTGCAAGCTAAAACACTAGCACACTGCACTATGCTCGTAACATATATGTAGATCATAAAATGTTTGAAATAGATGTGCGTGTTATTATTGTATGATACAGAAAGATACAAAAGGGAGGGATTACTTGAGCCTGGTGACATGGGGTTGGTAGGATGAAAGCCTGAAGGGCCAGCTTCGCCATGTTTTCTGCAACAATCATTACCAAGACTGCAGTTATGATACAAAAGCTTTTATTCTCTCATCTTCTTGGTGCAACTAGTACGAACAAAAATAACAATGTGAAAGCGAATTGCAACCAAAAAAGCCTTTTCCTTGCAACCATGCATAAAGTATGACAGCAGAAACTAGGTAGATAGAACAATCCGAGAACATAAACAACAACCTTGAAGGGAGAGCGTCTTTTACAGTAAGGTATCGTCTCCAATATGGTAATGTCGACTTGTTAGTCGCCTTTTTTGTCCCACCATTATATGCTCTGACAACAAACTCTTCACTTCTCTGGCTGCACATGGAAAGTTGTCAAAAATTTCAGTAGTTCCAGGAGAAATATAGGCTTGTTGTCGTTGAAATTGTAAAGCTATCAATATCAAATTAGGGACAATGTATCATACTTATTCTGATAATCCGTCAACCATTTCAGGTAAGCTGCCCCAAAATACACGTTTATAAAGGGCTTGTGAAGAAGATCAGGATTGTCATCCACATTATATTCCTGATACCCTTGTCCTCTGAAATAAGTTTAACCAAAACCAGAACATAAGATTTAAAAAACTTGAGATTCTCTTGGAAAAGAGGGAAACAAGAAATCATTTTGTACCCAACCAACCACTCTGCTGTCTTTGCGAAAATTTGTAGAATTCCTAAGCCAGTTTCCTTTGTCTTTTTGTTGTACTTCATAATGAGAGGCTTTCGGTCACTTTCAAGCTCAGCAATTGCGCATATCATTTCCTGTAGAGAAAAAGGGAGATGCAAAACTTTGAGATCAGAAAGGGTACAGTTGGTGTCAAAAGCAGCTAAAACCAAGTTCAAAAGTACAAGTTTTTCAAAAATATGCTCTGAATCATGATTAAAGACCAACAATCGAATATGAAACTTTCAGTGATAGATGCCAATGAAGCATACCGGATCCAATATTGAATCAAAATGTCTTCGAACAGTAATATCAGCAACAGCCTGCAATAACAAGGAATTGAACAATAAGTAGGCAGAAAGAAAATCTAGAAAAGGCTTATCCTGAATTCAAAAATTCCTCATCAATCTTCGATGTGGAATGTTTGCAGTCAAATGAGAACATACAACGATTTTTAAAATGTGGTTACCTTCATCTCGGTCTGTGTCAGATAAGGCTGACCATCAGGATCCCTTGAGAGGTGAACCTTCTGTCCTTTAGTCTCTCCAACTTCTAACCATTCAGCTCTCACCGCAGGCTCCATCCACATTGCTTCTAAATCTTCTGGCTCAACACAATCGTTCCAGTACATGAAACTATTGGCCATTCTTGCATTGCTATACGACCTTTCCATTGACATTGGCATCTGCCAGAAAGCAAAAGAGAATTGTCACAGAAGCTATTGTAGATTTCACAGCCACAACTAGCTTATGGAAATTGATGAGCTCAATCCATTCCACATAAACGATGTATAAGTAACATATTTGCCAAATTTACATCGATTTCTACAAGCAAAGACATCAAACTAGAGGACGAACCAACAGATCCCAGAAAATCAATCGGAAAACTCGGCAGTAGCATGTCAACATTGCCTAACAAACGCATGCTAGCAAACTAAAACGAACAATCAAGCGCCCAAAAAAACACGAGAAATTTGGTTTGTAGAGCGAAATTTGCAGTGAAAATCCAAAAACGGTAGAAAGGAGCAGAGAGAGAGAGAGACCTTGCCGAAGGCTTAAGCGCGAAGGACGAGAACGTCGACGACAGGGGAAGAGAAACAAGGTTTCTCGGCGAATCCAGAGATAAGAAGATGGAGATTCAAATAAATCTTTGGGAAATTAGACAGATACAGATAACAAGACGAAGAAGAAACCGACGGTTCGCCATTTTTGACGGGAGTGCCAGAACAGAAAATCAAATCACTCCAGAGGGAGAGTGAGACGAACGAAATGCAGAACAGCCACGACTGCCACGTGGCAATTCTGAGCTGGACTAGATCGTCGTCGTTTCAACGTAAAGCCATTTTTAGAGGGAGAGCCAGGTCGACTTGCCATGTGTCAACCTGAAAATTGGAATAGCATCGTGGCCCAATTCAAATCTGACGTGGCAACTATTAACCGTCGCTTTATGGTTTCCCCAACCCCAACCGTGCTCGGTAACCGACAAAAGATAGTTCAAATATGACTGCAGGCCCACCAAAAATGGGCCTGGACGCCGATCCAGTACACGCGTCTCTTGTTGTTCCTCCTTGAAATCTCAACCCTTAGATCTCTTCTCACCGCACCATTTGTTACGATAGGCCGTACCGCATTGGAACATAACCGATCGTCTCTGCAAGACTGCAATGTCGTAAGCATATTTACATGAGAATATTCTGCGAAATAGAAAAGAGTGTGCAATTGCAATTGCATTTCTTTCAATTTTTAACTCAAACGAACATTTCTCTATTGTATTTGGCTCTACAGCTACACTCAAAAGCCATACAGCGGAAGGGGTTAGTATAAGGTTTTTGGCGGCGAGATCTCTTTGATTTTGCTTCTCTGGTAGCTCAGCAATGGCCTTCTCTTCTCTACTCAGATCCGCCGCCACTTCCGCCGTCGCTCCTCGTGTCGAGCTTCGTACATCGCCGTCTTACGATCATTCTCAGGTACAAAACGTTTTTCGTTTTTCCTCTCCCGGGTTTGTGTTCGATTTGATAAGCTGCTTGGATTTCGTATTTCTGTGTCGCCTGTGATTTGTTTGTGAAAAGTAAGTAAAGTCGGGAGTTTTTATTATATCCTGATCTTCTCTACTTGCTTCCTCCCATGTCGTTGAAATATGGAATTCCTAGTCGTTTGGCCTGTGTTATCTGATAGACGCCATTAAGTCTCAGTTTTTTTATCTTTTTTTTCTGAGATGATCAGGCCACGTCAAGTCTTGGATTCAGTCACAACTTAACCTCGTCCAGATTCTCTGGTGCTGCGGTGTCTACAGGGTCATCTTCATCTTTACAGTTCAGTGACAAACTCTGTAACACATTATAACTTACACTATGCTTTTTCGGATTCTCAGAAGTGTTTTTAATGTTCAAATGTGCAGGAAGTGCAATTCAAGAAGCATTCAACCCATCAGGGCAACAGCTACAGAAGCACCTCCTGCTGTTCGAAGTAAGAAACAGTACTAATTGAAATTCTTAGCTGTATATGAGGCTGTATTCGTACCGAATTTGATTCGACTGACTTGTATAGGGTCAAGGAGCAGTGGAAAGACAAAGGTCGGGATCAATGGTAACTTCTTTTTATCCATTGTTGAATTTCTACTCCCGCCTAGATTTTTCATTTCAGACAGATGCTTGAGTGTTTACTATGGTGCGGCACAGGTTTTGGTCGGATTGGAAGGTTGGTCCTCCGCATTGCAACTTTCAGAGATGATATTGAGGTTGTAGCAGTCAACGACCCATTCATAGACGCCAAGTACATGGTAAGGATGAGTACTTGGTAACTTTTTCGTTTGCTTGAACTCAGAGGTACTCGTTTATAAAGGCATGGGATACATGTACAGTATATTGAACATATTGCAAATTTTTTCTCTACTCTGTTATGCAGGCTTACATGTTCAAGTATGATTCTACTCATGGAAATTACAAAGGAACCATCAATGTAATTGATGACTCCACTTTGGAGATCAATGGAAAAGAGGTCAAAGTTGTCAGCAAGAGGTAATGTCTCAAAAAGTTGACTCATATGTATCTCTCTAGACATGTTCAAATTATGAACCAATTGTCACGTTTTACTATTGACAATGTAATAAAGTTATTAATTTTATTGGTTATTCCTCAGAGACCCAGCTGAAATCCCGTGGGCTGATCTTGGAGCTGAGTATGTTGTTGAGTCTTCAGGAGTATTCACCACCGTTGCACAAGCTTCATCGCATTTGAAGGTGTGCATTTTAATCTGAACGCACCTGTTGATCACCTTGTGTCACTGATGCTGACATATAATACCAGGGCTTATATTAATGCAAACACTTCTTTGCTAATATAGCTTATTTGTCTCTGCAGGGTGGCGCCAAGAAAGTCATCATATCTGCCCCTTCAGCGGACGCACCCATGTTTGTCGTTGGAGTAAATGAGAAGACATATAAACCAAACATGGATATAGTCTCTAATGCAAGCTGCACCACCAATTGTCTTGCACCTCTTGCCAAGGTTTGTAACACTGCATATTGTTTTTTTTTTGTCCAATATCACTTTTTGTGAAGAGATTAATAAAGGTCAGATAAGTTGTCTCTGGCAGGTTGTACATGAGGAATTTGGAATTCTTGAAGGTTTGATGACAACAGTCCACGCGACCACAGGTCTTTGATTCTTTTGCCCTCTTGTTATAAGTCAATGTGTATGATCAACCTGACGAGACTAAATTATGTGTTTTGTTCATATCTTTTATCCATATTCAGCTACTCAGAAAACTGTGGATGGCCCATCAATGAAGGACTGGAGAGGAGGCCGAGGTGCCAGTCAAAACATCATTCCTAGCTCAACAGGCGCTGCAAAGGTAGAAATAATCATAGGGTTATATATATAAAGTTATAAACATCACATTTTGGAGTTATACTTAAGGCATGAGTTGTTTTGTTTTCATACTTGTCTCAATAGGCTGTTGGTAAGGTTCTTCCAGAACTCAATGGAAAACTAACGGGAATGGCTTTCCGTGTCCCAACACCAAATGTCTCTGTTGTGGATTTAACTTGTCGACTTGAGAAGGATGCATCTTACGAAGACGTCAAGGCAGCCATAAAGTAGTTACTCCCAAAAACTCTCTGTTCAAGCTATTTGACTTACCATTATCTTCACATGAACATAACATGGCTCGCATGATTTTGATGTAAATCTCTTTAATAGGTTTGCCTCAGAAGGACCACTTAGGGGCATCCTTGGGTATACAGAAGAAGATGTGGTCTCCAACGATTTTATCGGAGATTCAAGGTATCACACTTAAATCTTGTAACGGATCATGAATTTCAAAATCTAGTTTTGGTACTCAAATATGGTGGTCATTACCAAACATTTGAAGGTCAAGTATCTTCGATGCAAATGCTGGGATTGGGTTGAGCAAGTCCTTCATGAAATTTATCTCCTGGTATGACAACGAATGGGGTTACAGGTAAACATTTTGTCTCTCTATCATTGCTTTACCATTTGCCAATACCCTAAGACTAAAATTATTTGCTGGTTTTGTAAATGTTACAGCAACCGAGTCCTTGACCTGATAGAGCACATGGCGTTAGTTGCAGCCAGCCGCTAAACCATGCCGGTTTCTTGCATAAGGCAAAGACTTTCTTTTTGTTAGGATCATTAGGTACCTAGCTTCTTTCTTTTGTGGTTCGAATGAGGAACGTCGCGGTTTTTCTCTGAGTTTCATGGAATCACGACTTGGTTTTGAAACCACGTGATCTAATAATAAGGGGAAGATTTTTTTTTTTTTTTTTTCTTTGTACTAAGAAAAATTGTTTGCGGGTATCACATTCATGAGTGTAAGTTCAACAATTGGTCTCAAAGTTTGGAATTTTCCGGTTATATGGTTTGTGGTTAGCTTCAGTGACTATAACTCATCTCTGTTACATCAATAATCGAGATTTTGTGACAGTGTAAACCATCCATGAGTACACAAATATGTCTATAAGAAAATTAGGTAAGCGAGTGTTTTGACTTTTGATTAACCCCTTTTACCGAATTAATATGATGAAATCGTGACATGGCATCCACTTCAAGGCAAAATGATCTGATAGAGAATGTATACATGGATTAAAAAAACTCTAAAGATTTTGTTAATAACACGATGATGTCCCCACTCAGAGAAAATGTTGGCATAAAGATGAAAAGTTTGAGCTAGCAAAGTTATTAGGGACAAAAGCTTTTTCCAATCGTGGGAAACCACTTTGATCGCAGCAAATATGCACAAGTTGATTAATCATTTTTATCATAATCCAAAAAAAAAAACTACAAATCTTTATTTTACGTAGCCGTTTAAAAATCCTTTTGATTACCGAAAGTGTAGTGATGTTAAAAGACTTGGGACTCATCCTTTGGACCACGCCTTTTTCATCACCAATGACCAACCTACTTCGTCAACACAGCAACATAACGAATAACCCTCTTACATATAATTACATATACATAGAGTTATTTTATCCATAAATTTCCCATTATGTGCACATTATTAAGAACACAAAGAAGACAAATGTATTTCGTGTACCTATTACTATCCTGAATAAGGGATAGCATGATCACTATATATATGTGTTCTTTAACAAATTTAAATTGCAAAATATCATACATGCTATCTATGTGTCATAAGCTTAACTTTTTACCAATTCAACCCAAATTTAAACAGTATTATTTTTCGGCGTTTATGTAAATTTTTAAATTTTGCAAATTTACATTTTTAGATTATGTTTCTGGTATAAAAATATAAAATATTGTGCATTTTCCTTTTTTTTTCTGTCACAATATAGAGAAGTTGTGTGCGAGACTTGCTTGTTGCTTTAACTCCTTCATACAAACAAAGCAAACAAAAATTGGTTTCTCTCTTTACAACTTCCCCAGAAACACTTTTGAATTGCTTTTCGAGAGAGAGACAGATCAGAGAATGGCCACGGAGCATATAGTCCATACGGCCGACGAATACCATGTCGAGCTTTTACCTAGCGACGACGCGCCGCCGCCACCTTCACCGTCGTGGCGTCTCAGCCTCGACACTTTTCGACTCCCTACTTCATCACCGTCTTCCGTCGGCCGTCACGACGCTCGTACTCGTTTTTCTCGCTATTTCCGTACTCCGAGTAAGTTTTCTTCTTCGTGTTACAGTTTTTTTCTTCCTTTCCGTGATCTGCTCTGAAACCGTTTCGTGTGGATGTATCTATACTTATCCTGTACGTATACAGGATATCGTCGACCATGAGTTTATGAAGCGTGTATGAAACATAAAAATGATTATATGAAAATGTGAAATTGTTGTTGGTCTATGAAGCGCCACACTCATCTCTAACTGATTGTTCTTCCTTCGAAACTTGTTTGGATAATAAATACAGTTATAATTAAGTATGATGTTTCACTTTAAAAACTAATTATGTTGATTGATTCTGGAATATTAGGCTTTTTTTTTTTGTTGATTCAAAGTTATCAAGCTTTTTGGTGGAATCTTAAGCTTCTCTTTTGGAGTTTGTATATGCCAGATTCTTTGTTTTAAAAGTTGTATGGATGCTGAATCAGATTCTAAAATACAGAAATGATTGTGAAAATGTTAAACCCATCAAGGAGTCGTTAAATCTTGAAAAGGGTTTAGTAAAGTTTAACTCTACTCTCTCTCTGTTGTCTCGATGCAGGAAAGGAACGTAGAGTCTCTGAATACTACAAGAAGCAAGAGAGGCTTCTCGAGGGTTTCAATGAGATGGAGACTATCCACGAAGCTGGTTTTGCATCTGGAGCTCCAACTGCGGTCCGGCTCCACTTTTTTTCTCTCTCTTTCTTTAGTCTCTGTCTTATGGTATGTCTCTTTGAGATTTACTCCTTTTTATGTTTTTTGGTTTCAACAGGAAGAATTGAAGAAGCTTGCAAAGAGTGAGAGACTTGCAGTTCACATCTCCAACGCAACAAATTTGGTGCTCTTTGTGGCAAAAGTCTATGCCTCTATGGAGAGTAGATCCATGGCTGTGATTGCTTCAACTCTGGACTCTCTCTTGGATCTCTTGTCTGGTTTTATTCTCTGGTTTACTGCTAATGCCATGAGTAAACCAAACCAGTTTCACTACCCAATAGGCAAGCGACGTATGCAACCTGTGGTATGTTACTCTCTATTAACTCTTTCTTTGGTTTATCTCTATCAAGTAATGCTTAGTTTTACTTGTCCCACAAGAAAATTTACTTCCAAGCCAAACCATATGGTCACAAAGTTATAACTCTTGGTTTATGTTTTAACAGGGCATCATTGTGTTTGCTTCTGTGATGGCAACTCTTGGACTGCAAGTTTTGCTAGAGTCAGGAAGGCAACTAGTCTCCAAGGTCACATTTCAATGTTTTCTTGTAACTTCTTTCATCGGTTACTTGATGTATTCAACCAAATTCTCTGTTCTTTCACAGACTGGTATTCATATGAATAGCACAGAGGAGAAATGGATGATCGGGATCATGGTCTCTGTCACCATAGTCAAGTTTATACTCATGCTTTACTGCAGAGGGTTTCAGAACGAAATCGTCAGAGCCTACGCTCAGGACCACCTCTTCGACGTCGTCACCAATTCAGTCGGCTTAACAACAGCTGTCTTGGCCGTCAAATTCTACTGGTGGATTGATCCCTCCGGTGCTATTCTTGTAAGTACTCACACTTAATCAAGAAATGTCTCTTGGGATTACAAAAAACGTTTCTTTATCTTTATTTGTGGTTGCAGATTGCTTTGTACACCATAGGAACATGGGCAAGAACCGTACTAGAGAACGTGCATTCGCTGATCGGACGCTCTGCGCCGCCAGATTTCTTGGCGAAGCTGACGTTCTTGATATGGAACCATCACGAGCAGATCAAGCACATTGACACTGTGAGGGCTTACACTTTTGGGTCACACTACTTTGTTGAAGTGGACATTGTTTTGCCAGAGGACATGAGACTTCAAGAGGCTCACAACATCGGAGAGACTCTTCAGGAGAAGCTCGAGCAGCTCGCTGAGGTGGAACGTGCTTTTGTCCACATAGACTTTGAGTTCACTCATCGTCCTGAACACAAATGTAACTAGACTTATCAGCTTTTAGGAAGAACACAGACCAGAAAATGATTCAGAAGGAGAATGATAAGTCATGTATTAGTGTTAGTTATTTAGATTGTGTTGTCTTCGTGTCGTTTTGTCTGTATGATAATCGAATGAATGTCGTTTTTCTCAAGTCTACGTTGTCGTTGAATGTTTTGTCGTCTCTATTTATGAGATGCGCACTGTATGTGGTTTAGACTCTAGTTTGAACGAAAACCACGCAGTCTAGTTGTTTTAAAAGTGCACTGCGTGCTGTTTGATATTGAATGTAACACCTCACTAAACTCATACTAATAAAGATAAAATAAAAATAAAATATTGAGTTTAAATTGAAACCACTCAAAATAAACACGAATAAAGAGCTTCTGGTTATCTATCTTCCAACAAAGTTCCGTGCTTCGTTGCTCTTCTCCACTAGACATTTCTCTGGCTCAGAATCTTCGCCATGGAAATGTAAAGGAAGAAAATAATAGACAAGCTCTCAAACCCCACGGAGTCATGGCTTTTCTTCTTCCTAATCTATCTCCTTCAATCCTTCGTCAAACCGGAAAATCCCCAAACCTTAAACCCATTTTCACTCAATCTCTAGCTTCGTCGTCGCCGTCGTCTTCTGTTAGCTACGAATTTGAGGAGGACAATCACTCTACACTCTCTCTTTCTAGCGTGCAGTCTCCTCCTCTTCCAGATGCGCAGGTTAAGACAATACCAACTGCGCAAGATAAGCATAACCAAGACAGAAATGAATTCTATATCAATCTCGGTGTCGCTGTCCGTACGCTTCGTGAAGACTTGCCTTTGATCTTCACTAGAGATCTCAACTACGACATCTACAGGTAAATTAACTCATCTGGGTATTGGATTTTTGTATGAAAGGAAGAATCTTTATCAAATTCTATCATCTGGGTACACAAAAGGATCTTCCTTTGATCTCTGTTAATGTTTCTTCTCGGTGAAATTCAGAATCTTTCATTTTGTTTATTTACAGGGACGATGTAACATTTGTGGATCCGATGAACACATTCAGTGGGATTGAGAACTACAAATTGATCTTCTGGGCACTCAGATTCCACGGCAAGATATTGTTCAGAGACATCTCACTTGAGATCTTCAGGGTATGGCAGCCATCAGAGAACATGATTCTCATCAGGTGGAATCTAAAAGGTGTGCCTAGAGTTCCATGGGAAGCTAAAGGAGAGTTTCAAGGCACTTCTCGGTATAAACTCGACCGCAATGGCAAAATCTACGAGCATAGAGTCGATAACTTGGCATTCAATTTCCCTCATCAGCTCAAACCTGCAGTTTCGGTTTTGGATTTGGTGACTGCTTCCACTGCAAGTAGTCCCAAACCAACGTTCTTCTTCGGTCCTGTGGACTCGTATTCGTCTTCATGGATTGAGTTTTATCAAGTGGTAAGACGGACGTTGGACCAGACAGAGGATATGCTTGTGACAGACAGTGTAGTCACATGCTCGTAGTGGATGTAGAGTTGCTATACACATACTCAGGGACCACACTTCTCAGGTGTATATAGTTTTACATTTGAAGGTTATATATATATATATATATAAGTAGATTTTGTTGACTTTAAGCTTCTAAGGAAACACATATGTAATGTTGCTCCTGAAGCTTTATACAACTTTGTCAAATACATTGGAGTTTTGTTTTGATGATCATGTGGAATAGTAATATTACACGCACACAGAAAACAAACACACCTAATCAAGAATCAGCATTAGCCTCAGTTTTTTTTAATATCTGGCTAGAGTCCATGTAGAAGTCTCTCCCTGCAATTTCCGAGTAAACAGATTAACGAAGAAAGCCTAATAGAAATTGAACAAGTTTCCAGTTACATTAACATACGAATGTGTACCTTTAGACTGGACGGTTGTAGAGTTCGACTTAGAGAGGAAGCTTATCGAAGGGTTTCAAGACTGCAACGTTGCATCGATCTGGATTCATGTACTTCTCATAAGTGACCTTTAGTTCTCCTGTCTTAGCAGCTTTATGGAACCTTAAGATCATGTGAGAACAATCCCTGTGATAAAAAACAATTGTATAATATGTTTTAGTCAGTGTAATCAATCCAAGTGATCTGCAATTAGATGGTGATATTGAAGAGACGGTTACTTACTTCATTTGGGAGACATTGTAGTGGGTATGTTTGTTTAGGAGCGCGGTCCAGACTGGAGTCGTACGTAGAGTGCAGCGAGCTACATAGATAGCTGATGCGCAGAGCAGCGACGGCTTGAACTTCAGAGCTTCGTACTCAACCAAGCACAGCTCAATAAGGTAGAAGGCGAGTTGTTCAAGCTGATCAATGTAGTAGTATTAAAATGTTAGCTTTGATTTTACAGGTTATATTAGCTTATTAGATACAAGTTTCTCGGATACCTTCTTGTTTGATTGAGCAGCTTTTAGGAATCTCAACATGAAAACGTAAGGGGTGGCTTCGTTCAAACGGAACTTTAACTGTTTAAGCATCGTCCTCTCCTGAAAGAAGGAAAAAAATAAGATAAATAACAAAGGGAAATATGCAAACGACCAATTATTGTCAAAATGGATAAGAAACAGAGTTCATTTATACCATTCCTAAGATTTGTTCTCTGGTGTATGATTCAGCGGAGATGCTAATCAAGTCTTTGATCTGCACGTGGACATAGAAAATAGGTTATGAAACTTTAAATTTGAAGCCATATGGAGTTGAAGAGATGTGTTTTAGCTTTCAGGATAAATGTCACTTACCCTAGGATGCCAATAGTCTTCGTATTTAGATGCCAGTAAGAGTGCAGTAAGACCAATCAATTGCATCTCACTTTTCTGTACTGGAACTTGGGAGAGGTAACGGTCTAACAAATTCATTGTGAGGTAGAGAGTCTCATGCATTAGATCAAATTTGAAATGAACCTGCAAACAAATATTGAACAATACCGAGTTAGAAGAAAAACTTTTGAGTATAGAGAATATCAAGTTGAAATGAAAACGAAAAAAAAAATGTACTCACTTCGATAAGCCAGTTGATCAAAATTCCACGCGTAACTGGACTAACTCCTGACTGAGATGACATGTAGTATCCCAAAGCTGGATTTAATGCCTGCAACAGCATTTATTCAAAAACAATAAGGAACAAAAGAACATAAGGGGAAAACGAGGCTGCGTGTATGAGGAACTAAGAAGCGGATTACCTCAGAAGTCCAGTAGAACTGATATATGTCATCCACGTATTCCGCAACTTCCAGCTGATTTGATGCATCATCAATGTTGGGAAGCTTTTCTGGTTGTGCAGCTTCACCATTTTTCTCATCGAACTACAAGGAAAGCTACAGTATTAGTAATATAAGAGAAAAAGAAGTCACAAGTGAACAGAATAGTTAGCAGAATTTTGAACCTTTGATCCAGCCACTAGTAGAGATGTGAAAGACTTTCTACGTTTTGATTTTGGCAACACTTTTGTCTTTGGGTCTGTTTTTTCATTAAAAGAACTCTCTCCTCGAGTATCTTCTTTGTGATCTGCTGTTTCAACTAGTTCCGGAAGTGACAGAGACGGAACAGCTTCTTCAGGAGAAGGGATTGAAGAAATAGATCTTGATTTACTTCTAGCCACCGGGGGCTTCTTAAGAGAACTACGGTTTTGCAGCGAGGTCTTCACATTTGTCTGGATCTTAAGTGAGAGAAAAAAAATTATTAGATATTTACTAAACAAAAAAACTCAAGACGACTGTGACTATTGGCAGATGAAATGATCAGAAGAAAAATGTATGAAAGTGAAGCCAAGAGCACACTGAAAACAAACAAAACAGACTGATTTAGCAGTTCAATGATGAAAGACAACGAAAATTTGTTGTTGAGAGAGCTTCATAGAGTTTTGGCTTTTATAAGAAAGGAACCACTAAATACAAATATAAATAAGGACTTAAGGTATGTTACCTTAATAGGTTTCCTTGCGATAAGAACGTTATTCTTACTCTGTTTGTTGCAGTCCCTGTCAATACAAAGAAAATGAACTTAGCAGCATATACTCTGTGAATGCTGGTGACTATTTGGTTCTCAAATATGTAAAAGAAGTCGTTCATTGATAAATGGAAACAAAGATTCTGTGAATGTAGACACAATTTGATAGTTGAATATAGACTAGTGTGACACGCAATAGAGAAAAATCATCTTAACGATGATATCAGAAACAAGCATATTTACTTACGATGGTATTGGCATAGGACCGGCACTTGTCCGAGTTTTATTGCCGACTTTATTGGCTGAAACAATGCAACATCACTCATATCAGATACTGAACCGACTACAACTTAAACATACACATTTCCATCAAAACATCGGAAGTTTAGAAAAGAATTCAATGTTACCTGGAACTTGACGCAATTGTTTTGAAACTAAGCTTGAGACATTGTCCTGCGCAAAGAAAGGAAATAATCAAAATCAAGGACAGTGAGTAGAGTCATATCCAATTAAGTAAGATTTCACAAATGATTAGCCTCACAAATTGTTGTACAAACCAGCTTAATGTCAGACACAAACAATGTCAAAGTATATTGATAACAAGTACCTTTTTTGTGCTCTTATCTGCGAGGCTTGTTCTCTTTGTAGCTGCTAAGGAGCTTCTGCAAGAAAAAAACAATCAAGGAAGATAATCAATGAATTATGTAGAATTATTCTCTGAAATCAAGAGCAACAGAAACTGTGGCTAAGACTTATGAAAAAGAAATGGATGAACGAAAATGAAAGTGGAAAATTCACTAACAAAAGGGAACAAAAGCAGCTCATACCTTTGGGGATTCACACATCTTACACCCTTCCATTTCCTGCATTGTTGTGCATTCAATGTAACATTTTAAAACATAACAGAAATCAGTACAGTAAAAATGTGCATAAAGTCAGTTTTGCTAAGAAGACAATGGGCAACTTAACACTCTAGTCCACGAGAAAGCAAAGAAATTAAACCTTTCATGTTATGCAAACTTACATCGTATTGGTGCCAGCAAGCGTAGGCCTTAAGGTGTTCCCACCAAGATTACTCAAATCAGCCAATGCTTTTCTTGTGACCTTAGTATATTCCTCTGGAAAGTAGACAAAACTTTGAGTCAACTTTCAAAACTTCATCCCAGAAACGTCATAAAACCTCTCCACTATAAACTTACCAGAATTTTCATTACTGACTTTTCCCTTGCCAGTGATTCTAGAAGTTGCTCCACCGGTAATTGTCACAGATTTTCTCCTAAACAATGTAAAAGCAGAATGTTCATTTCTTTTCTTAAAAAATCGTAATGAATACAACAATGCACCTGCAATACGAAGGCAAAGAGAAGCACTTACACTTCACCGGCTGGATCAGTTTTCTGATTATCGGAGAAGACTTTGAAACTCCTAGTCCCCGCTGTTTCAGAAGTATATAGTTTTATAAGTGAACCATTTGTTTAAGAACTGAATATGATTCACCAAGCAACAGAGGATAATTTAGTCCCCTTACCTCGTCCAGGGATTTCATCTCTACCCAGTCGTGGTGCCTACAAAAAAAAATCATAGCAAGTGAAATTAGAACTAAAAATTGGCTTATGTGTTCATTTCTCACCTGCGATTTCGTAAGACCTAACCTAATTCGGTAAAAAAATCACAAGAATCTCTCATCTGGCAACTTCCGGTACCTTTACCAAAATGATGAAAGACGAAGAGGCAAAAACCCTAATCTCTTCTAGTATGGGAGAAATTAAAGATTCCGAATCGTAATCCCGTTTCAATTAACGAAAAAGAAGGCCATCTCAATGGTAATCGTAAGAAAACAAGAACACGCACTCGATCTCAAACTCATTTGCGATGAACTTAATAAGAATAACTCGTTTTTCCAAAAATAAAAACAGAAGAAATTAGGATCTCATAGGAAAAAGTTTACCTTCGCGAACGCCATTTTTCTTCAATCTCCAGATCTTCCGCCTTTTCCTTCCCGGAGTCTTTTACCGTTGCAATTTTCTGATAGGCGAGACCAGTGAGTGACGCCGCTTGTTTTAAGTATTTGAAATTGAGCTTATAGAAATTGACGATTATGACCCCTTGAGTTTCCACTTTACGCTCAGTAACTGTTTATGTTTGGGCTACCTTGTTTTAACCAAGCCCATTTGAATCCAACTTAAGACATATCAGGATCCAACTTAAGACATATCAGGCCCACCAATTATTATTCGAGAAATGGTAATAATTTGCTTCTTCTTTTTTTTCGTCTACATAATTGCATCTATGGGGTTTATTGTGTGCATGAGCAGAAAAATATATTCGAAGTATAAAGAAACTCTAGAGAAAGAATCCATGCATTATTTGGTAAAAAAAAAGAAAAAGAAAGAATGCATGCATTGTATAAAGTTTTTATATAAACTCAAGAGAAAGAATCATCTACATAATATAATATGTATGATCTTAGCCTCTGTGGGGAGATGTTTTCTGCCGACTGCCTACAAACAAATCATGCTTATGGCTCCGACAAGATTGAAGTATTATCAAGGAAGCCCTTTAAAAAAATAAAATAATAATGTATTATTGTCAAGGCGTAGTAGCTGCACCAAGATGATGCCAAAGACCTGCAAAAGTTAGACAACAATCGAGTCAAGTACTTGTAATTCGCGCATAAAAATCTGCAAATTATGAGAAGAAGAAAAGAGTTCATCATTTTATCCTGATTTATCTGTCACTTGCCTCGGTAATTCACCCTTTAATTCTAATCACGATAAGGCGTCAAATCGATTTGAAACCGCTGTTTTCCCTTTGTGACACTCTGCAAAAATGTCATTAAGGAGCCAAAAGTTGGTTACAATATGATGGAAACACATTGTATATCTGTATGAGATGAAGTTAAGGGCTTACCGCGATTGCTATGAGCTCTTCTAGCAGTTCTTCTAGATGACGCAGAGGCTATGAAACACAGGGAAAAGGTAAGCAAAAGATGATCATAGAATGAGAAGGTCTGAAATATGTGAATTTACATCGTCTTTTTAAAAGCTTACCCATTGTGTTGGACCATCGACTGGTGCACTTAAAGGATCGTCATGCACCTAATTCACAGGAAAATTGACACAGTTTCATAACCAAATTAGCTCAAACAATCATAGAAACTACAAAAAATGCCATGAGCTTGAATGAAATATTGATACCTCCATGAAAATTCCATCGACACCAACAGCTACGGCGGTTCTTGCTATGCATGGTATTAATTCGCGAAGGCCTCCACTAGCAACACCCCCACCATCCAACTATGCAAAGACGATATGCTTGTGTTAAGACTTAAGATCATTTGAGATTTCGGTTTAACACAATAAGCAATAGCTCTCAGAAACCACTAGGCAGTTCATATATTACTCAGAGCATAAATGGCTAATGATCTTACCTTCTTGCCTGCAGGTTGTTGTAATGAATGAGTTATATCAGCAACCTGCAAAACAGGACAATTAACAACAAGCTCATTTAACAAGAAACAAGAAGAAGAAGTAAGATTTACTTACAACAGGACAATTCGCTTCTCTCATCCATTCAAAATTTCGTGGATCTACTATTAAATCATCTGAGAAACAAAATCAAATAGTAAGGACAGTGAGGAGTTAAAAAAAACAATAGAGATATACAGTGTGGCTTTTAGTCTATTTAAGCCGCAATATATTTGCATAAAATTGGCAAATATCTACATGTTCAATTACGCCTCCAGTTCATTCAACACAAAGAACACACTACAAAGCTGTTTTGAGGATCCGCTATGTTAAAAAGAGATGTTAACTTACTGTATCCAAACATGGTTCCTCTTTCACAAACCATCACATTCGGATTCCCTGCGAGTCTAATCTTCTCAGCCGAATATGCCATGACCTTAAGATGTATTATACATGAAGTCAGCCCCTGTCATATAATGTTTTGCCAGATCAAAACAAGTCAGAAGAGATAACTCACAGAAGATGCACAAAATTGTCCTTTCTTAATATTGATAATCTTGCCAGTTTGAGCTGCTGCGACCAGAAGATCTGTCTGGAGATAAAGTTTATAGTTAAAACCATGAATCCAGGATGTATATACACACAGCAGATGGAAATTGGATAACTAAAAACAGGAGAGCTGAAGAAAGCATATGTCAGAACTTAGAAATCTACCTGGCGACATAAGAATGCTGGTATCTGAATTATATCTGCAACCTTGCCAACCGCTTCACACTAAACAAAAATAAACTAAGCATCAGAGAGGAACAAAGATTTGTTGAACTCGATTCTCTTGATGTATCTAAATATTCAATATACCTGGCTCGAGTCATGCACATCGGTTACGATTGGTATATCATATGCTACTTTCACCTTCTCAAGAATCTGCGGAGAGAACCAGAAGAGTGAGTAAACGAAAGGTTCTAAGCGAAATAATTAGATATAATATTCCTGTTACATTGATACTCTTGAAGGTTTTCAAATGCACAGTTCACATCACAGAACAGGAATGGTTGATAAAGAGGGGAAAATTACCTTCAAGCCCTCAGCTATGCCAGGACCTCGGAAGGACTTTGATGAAGTTCTGTTAGCTTTATCGAAACTTGACTTGAAAACCAGAGGCAAGCCAAGCCTAAGCCATTCACAATCAACAAGAACATGCACAAGAAACCACAAACTATCAATAACCTAAAATGCTCTTGTGTGAAGGTCACCACTATGACCCATTTGCTATATTGATACAATACATGCTATATTGAATCAATACATATCAATTTGAAACAGATTTTCAATTCGTTTGTTAGTTCCACCACAATCGAACACAAAATCTCAAGAGAGAAACAAGAAAACAGCTTTATTGGTGATGGTCATACATACTTTGTCGCAATGTCTTTTATGCTTTTAGCCATTCGAAGCACATGCTCTTCAGATTCGATCACATTTGGACCAGCCAACAAGAAAAACGGCTCAGCAACCTACAAAAGCAGCCAATGTGCGTATGATAACACAACTCAATTCACCAGAAATGAAGAATAATATGAGAAAAAAACAAACGGCATTGTGAATATGTTCAACCCAATTCACCAGAAAAACAGAAAAAGAGAAAAAAACAATCGGCATTGTGAATATGCTCAACCCAATTCACCAGAAAAAAACAGAAGAAAAGAAGAAAAACAATCGACATTGTGAATATTCTCAACCTTGAGCTGATTGTACAGTAGTGACGATGAATCCGCCATTTTTACCGCAGAGCTCAAGATCGGGAAACCAAAACCTGCACTTTCCAAAGGAAAATCCAAATCAGAATCCAAAATTCGCGATAGACCCATGCAATTTCGTTTCACTGAATAACATCGAACGAAAATGACAAAAGACGAGTTTAGAGATCTGACCGAAAAAACGCCTTGAGCTGGAAGTTGCAGTGTGAGTGAAGGCACTGAAGAAAAATGAGATGCCAAATAGCTAATGGCCCAGCGATGAAATGTGTGGTTACCAACAGTTTGATCCTTGGCGTGGATAGCCTCCTCTCGTATACGGAATTTTCAATCCGGATAAACCGATACGAACCGATCCCCACATAACCCGAAATACACTGTTTGGATGCACGGGCGATATTGTCCCTGATTAGGATAAACCCTCTCTTATTAGATTCGGTTTGGTTCGTTTGGTTTTCTCTATATTCGGTTACGTTTTTTTTCTAATCCACCCTACTTTTCGATTTGTCATCTTTCGCTCCTAAACTTTCACCAACTCCTCACTAAACCCTAGTCACACCCTCTCTCTGTTCATTTCTCTTTATCTCTCTCTCTCTCTCAGCAGCGACGCCATTGGTGTAGTGGAGATGTCGTCAGCATTCGAGGACGGGTTCTCAGCTGCGAAGCTGTTCGCGCAGGGATACTCTTACACCTACGACGATGTGATATTTCTGCCTCACTACATCGACTTCTCGACGGACGCCGTCTCGCTCTCCACGCGCCTCAGCAAGCGCGTCCCGCTCTCGATCCCGTGCGTCGCTTCGCCGATGGACACCGTCTCGGAGTCCCACATGGCTGCTGCTATGGCTGCGCTTGGAGGAATCGGAATCGTTCACTACAACTGTGACATCGCCACTCAGGCTTCCGTCATCCGTCACGCCAAGTCTCTCCGAGTTCCGATTGCCTCCGACGCCGTTTTCAAATCCCCAGACCTTCAGATTGGTTCTGTTGACGATTTCGGTCCTTCTTCCTTCGTTTTCGTCTCCCAAACAGGTAAATTTACCCACCAATTTCAGTCTGAGAATCAACATTTCCGAAATGAATCAGAACACCGAATACGATTTGATATACGTCGAAAGCTTTCACATTGATTATGTTATTGGTACTTATGAATCTTCAATTTCATTAGTCCGATTGATTTCGAAAGGAATCATGAAAGCAATAGTGTTCGTGTAAATTCTGAATAGCTTGCTTGTTGATTGAATTGCAGGGACGTTGACACCGAGTTTGTTGGGGTACGTCTCGAAATCGGAATGGTCGAGTATGAAAGATGACCAAAAGGAGATGAAGATATACGATTACATGCGGAGCATTGAGAGCAAAGACTACTATGTGCCGTGGGATATCGATCTCGACAAGATCGAGGCGGTTTTGGAAGATAAGCAGAAAGGTTTTGTGGTTCTGGAGAAGGAAGGTGAGGCCGTGAACGTGGTAACAAAAGACGATGTGGAGCGGGTTAAAGGATACCCCAAGTTAGGGTCAGGAACCGTCGGTGCAGACGAGAAATGGATGGTTGGTGCAGCCATAGGGACGAGGGAATCAGACAAGGAGAGGCTGCAGCACTTGGTGAAAGCTGGGGCTAACGTTGTGGTGCTGGATAGTTCACAAGGGAACTCCATTTACCAGATTGAGATGATCAAGTATGTGAAGAACTTGTATCCGGAGCTGGATGTGGTTGGTGGGAATGTGGTGACTATGTACCAAGCAGAGAACTTGATCAAAGCAGGTGTTGATGGGTTGAGAGTTGGTATGGGATCTGGATCTATTTGCACTACACAAGAGGTTTGTGCCGTTGGACGAGGACAGGTAAATTAAAAAAGCTTTCATATTTGACATATTTACATTAACTCTATGAACTACGACTTATAAAGTTGGGAACTTTTATTTGATTGGTAATCTTATAGGCCACTGCTGTGTACAAAGTCGCAACGCTTGCTGCTCAGCACGGTGTACCAGTTATCGCAGATGGTGGTATCTCAAACTCAGGTCACATTGTGAAAGCTCTGGTTCTTGGAGCATCAACTGTGATGATGGGAAGCTTCTTAGCTGGAAGCACTGAGGCTCCTGGAGCTTACGAATACAGAGTAATTGCGCACTACTTCTTCCTACTTTGAATATAGATTCTGATCAGTTTCCATGATATTTTTCTCAATGGTTTTGCGTTTGTTTGGTCTGTTACAGAACGGTAGGAGAGTGAAGAAATACAGAGGTATGGGTTCGTTAGAAGCGATGACCAAAGGAAGCGACCAGAGATACTTGGGAGATACCGCGAAACTCAAGATCGCACAAGGAGTGGTTGGAGCAGTTGCGGATAAAGGCTCGGTGTTGAAGTTTATACCTTACACAATGCATGCCGTGAAGCAAGGTTTCCAAGATCTTGGTGCTTCTTCTTTGGAGTCCGCTCACAGTCTATTGAGAGAGAACGTCCTTAGACTCGAGGTAAGCTGTCATTTTCTACTCCTTGGAAAACTCTTTTACACTGCGAATTTCGTCATTTTGATGTTAGTGTTTTTTCGTTTTATGGTTATGATTATTGCGAATAGGCTCGTACCGGTGCAGCACAGATTGAAGGTGGAATCCATGGACTCGTTTCTTACGAAAAGAAATCGTTTTAGCTTTCCTGAGTTTACTTTCTTTGTAATCGTGTACTCAAAAATAAAGACTATCACTTAATATTACAACCCTTTTTGGATTACGGATCTTCTTATAAATGGGTTTATCTATACATAATTTTTCTCTTGTGGCCATTTTAGTCTAGACAAACGAAAACGCTTGTAAGTTTATTTATCAGAAATATGTGACTACCTCCAACAATGGAGGCAATTAAAGCCTGAGAAAAGTCAATCATCGTCCACCTCCGGGACTTCTGTTCCATGACAAGTACGATGGATCTCCCAATTGCCTGAAACACAAAAACAAACCATATCATCAGAGAGCTCAACAAGCATCTTCCGATGAAATGTAGCATTGTAAGGGAATGAAATGTGTACCTTGGTTTTGCTAGATACAAGACGGAGAAGAAAACAGCCAAGGACAAGCATATGCTACCAATAGTCAAATACGCAATCCCAAGGAAATCATTCCTCCCACCGAGCCAGCTAGTGGTAGATAGCACAAGCTTCTTCTTTCCATTGAAGCTATAGGTGTTGTAATTGTTCTGCAACAATACCTCTATGGTGTCTCCAGCTTCAAGATCAGTGTCTATTTTACCATACAGCTTTCTAAATGTTGGTAGAGCCGCAGTTCGCATCCACACTATTAGGTCTTCTTGCTCACTCAACTGTCACAAACATCAAATTTGGTTAGGTCTGGTTAGGTCTCATCTTACTTCAGATGCAAGATTCTATATAACATTTCAAAGAGACTTACTGGAATCTTTGGATCAAGACTTTTACCGCCAATGGGAGATCCTTTCTGGAAGTTTTTTGGGAAAACGTTTTTACCAAACTTTGAATCTCTATCACTCGCCCATGAGATGCCTTTCTTATTCACAGAGAGTTTTTGGTTGTTTCTAGTGAAGTCATAAGTATCATTGAACAAACTCCAAGCAACAAGACCACAAGGAACAATAGATTCACCACCTACATTATCCTCTGGCACACATGATTTCACATCGTGTTCATCTTCCGGACTTCTCAATTGTCCATCATGTCGACTTTTCACATACCTTCAATTTGCATGCAAGATCATCAAATTAAAAAGTATCACTGTCTCA